CCAAAGTGCCGGCCCGCGGGCCAAATCCGGCCCGCGAGAATGTTTTCAGTGGCCCCTGGGATGATATTGATTTATTATTAGAACCGGCCCGCGGACCGCAGCAAGCCGAGAGCCCGCAGATCTTTTACACGCACCAAAACTACATTTCCCACAATGCAACGGTGACGCGCCAAGCAGTCGGCCGCTTTATTTAAATATTTATTCGTCTAGCAGTCATTCCCACAACAGTGTCATTAGCTTTCAGATACCCATCAAAAATGGCAAAACGGAAGGTGGACACTGAGAACCGGGGGTTTCAAACAAGGTGAGAGTCGAAGAACATGTTCATCATGGACGTAGCTGGAAAACCTGTGTGTCTTCAGATCCGGGCCGAATGCGGCCCGGATCATGGATGCCAGACCCGGGCCACTGCAGGACCGTCATTCATTGCGGTATGTGGGCCGAGTGTCGTGCCGTGTCCGCGCCAGAGCCGGGCCAGACCAATTTTGCTGACTGGGCTCTTCTACATGGTACCCAATCCTAATTTACATAAGACACTGTATATTCCTATTTGTATATTTCAATGTTATTTTGCATTCTAAATTGGGTGAAATGTTATTTTATAAAGTAAAGGCAATGGTAAAAATAATTCGACTGTATTTCGTTGATTCCCGTTTGTAAATCATGGACGGAGGGCGGCAACATAGAAACAATGGCGGTGCCCCCTTAACTCTGCCTGGCTCCCTCCTGCATATGAAATCTCACTTAGGGCGCCACACTGGATTGGCCCCGGCTCAGAGTATCTCGGCCCTGGAACTGTTGATGTGTGAAGATGAGTCACAAATAGTGTAGTGCGGGTTTTATACTTGGCATATTCATGCCCCATTGCTGACAAGATCTCTACACACGATAAAAGCATTAGCTTGCAGTCCTATTAAGGGATTAGATGCTGGGATTGCATGCCAGGTCCTAAACAAGAACTAAACAGAGGCAAAAATAGCAAATCTGACTGTGCTTTTTGCATGCCAGGTGCTAAACAAGAACCAAACAGAGACAAAAATAGCAAATCTGACTGTGCTTTTATTATTTATAGTCTTGCAGCATTCGGTATAGTTCATTATTATTAACTCCTTATGTCTCAAATTTTAATTATATACGCAGTGTATCTTGGACTCATTCATGCATTCTGGAAGATTAAAGAAAACAAAATCAGACTCATCGCCGGATGGCAACAAGAGTATAATGAAATTACATAACTAAATCAACAAGGAGGTACAACAACAATCTCAAGGGTGGAAAGAAAAAGACTGAAAGAAAACCTACCGTTTGATGTGAGCAAGACCACGCAAAGCAGGACCAACAAACAGGACAACAAAGCTCTCATGGTGGTGCCCCGTCAACGTCCTTGTAATCTTAAAACGAAAAGCAGGTTGTTCCCACCCCCACCAAAGAATCTACCCCCGACAGTTTTACGAAACTTAATCTGATCTGTCAGACAAGATAATATTATGCAGACAAGATTAGCAGGCCCTCAATATGGCCCCCTCTGTTCTGACTTTCCTAGTTACTGTATCTCCTCAAACGGACACAATGTGCAGTAGTGGAGTTCCATCCAGGAGTTCCCATAGCTTTCCTCTAGCCACACCCATCCCCGGTGTTAGTGCTTCCTACTTCATCCCTCTCTGAACTGTGGCTGACCACTAAAGAGTGCATCTCTAAACTCATTAAGTTTCCAAGACCTTGTACTTTGTTGTCTCATTAGATTTGTTGACAAACAGACACCCGATACCGGAAATAAAATTATTAAATCAACTATATACATGCACAGAACAATGTTTGGTTTTCATCAATTTAATGATAATTCGTCCATTAAAAATACATGTTTTTCAAGTCCAAAAATAAAATGTATAATCTTAGTTATTATGTGCAATTCCAACACATAAGTGTACAAAGATCCAACTAGCCTGTTTTTTTTTTTTGGGGGGCGGGGGGTGTTAGGAAAAGATGCACCATTTGACAAAAATAATAATGTCCAAAATCTGTGCCTTATCTGTACTTTACGTACAGTACAAACAAACACATCAAACTAATCGCTTCTCACACTGATCAAGAACAAGAAAAAATTCCAAATATGGCACTTTTTTAACCCCAAATAGCACGCAGAATTTCAAAACAGTGCATAAAACTTGCACCTAACCCTATAAGAAATGTAGACACATGCAGTCACACTGCATGATTCTCATTCATTAATCTGGGACCTCCCTGCTACTTTCTGTTGTGTGATAGTGATCCTGTTTATGGATTGGTGGTGTTTCGGTGTGCTTTGGCTGCAGTGCTGCCCAAGGATCCTCCAACATGGATGGACTAAAGTACCTCTCGATCGAGCCAGAAGACTCACGCTGGAAGGAACAAAGGAAGTAGGCACTTTAATCACACACATTTATGCTTGATTTCTGCATTCAATGGTCATAAAATTGACTTTTAATTAGGATGGAGGAAAACACCAACAGTCCATTTAAACTCATAACAAAAAAACAAAAAAAAATGTTTTCATGTTTTTATTGGACACAACATGTCAACATTAAGAGTGTAGAGTTGCAAAGAGTATGAAAGCGCCCAATTGAAAATTCACATTATTTTATCTCTGTATTGTGACTTACAGGGTTTCGGTTTACATTTCACTGAATTTTCTGAATGGGCTTTGTTTTCAATTCACCGTTCGTGCTTCTGACAACATGATACAAACGAATCTTTTGAGTAGCACCCGGAGATATAGCTTTTATGAGAAAATTTAAATTCGCATTCGTAGCAAAGAAATGTGCATGTAGTGCGTCTCTCGGGCTTATTGGTACAAATACACACGAGGATATTTTCGCCGTAGAGACTGGAAATAATATGAAAATACTGCGGCGAAACCAATTTATTTAAGTTGGGGTGCTGTGCAAGTAGCAACGTAAGATGGCCGCCGGTGGCTTCACTTCTCGTTTCTACAGCCGACTCCCCAGGAATAAGGTCGATCGTCTCCTACAATTTTAAAGATAATTCACTGTGTTTTTATTGCTTAGACAGGGGAAAATAATAGTTTTGTTTCTAAGCATCGTGTATGTTGTGATTTGATTCCGTCGGAATCCTTGGTGAACGACGGACACCAGGCGCCATGTAGCAGTTTTGTATCTCACCGGCACATTCCCGAAACTGTTTCCCCTTCGTTGCTTCTCTCCAAAATTGCGGCCACCGCTGCCGAAAATAGCCGGAGACCCTGTGTAGCCTCGTCCTCCAGCACCATACCTTCCTGGCGAACCTCCCCTATGTCCACGGTTAAAACCAGGCGAATACGTCGGGGAATTGGGTGAGTAAGTGTGGTAGCCCCGAGCAGAAACACCACCGTGGTGTCCAGCGCCTCTGTAGGGTGTGCGAGCCCAACCTGAAGGCGGGGAAGGAAACTTTTCGTTCCAGTGAGATCTGGTCGGGGTTCGATCCATATCGGTTCAAAATGGAATCAAAACACTTGCGACCAGAATTAAACGGAACGGAAATGAACCGGAACCGGAACTCAAGTGTTCTGCGTTTGTAACTGCAGCGCCACCTAGCGGTCATTGCAACATCCTCTCCTTTACCTCTGGTACTGTGCTGTGTATCTTTCAGGTTCACGATCAGAATCGATTTTATTGCAATTGGACAATGAAATGTACATTCGCAACTCGTATTTTTTTGGGGGCAAGATAAAATGTAAGTAAGACTAACGCACAAAAAAATTAAACTGTCAAGTGAGCAAGGTCATTCATGGATGTGGAAAAATAAAAAGTAAAAGATGTATGAAAAAAGTTTACTTTAAAAATTAAATATTACTCCTTTTTATTTTAGTTAGAATTAAGCCATCATTTAATAATATTGCATTTTTTCTATTTGCAGTCATTCATAAATCTTCTGAACCACTTATTATAATTAACCAATTATTTAATTAAACAAAGTATTTTTTTAATTATTTTTACTAAACATTTTTTTTATTATGCTTGCTGCAGAAAAATCAATTGACCAATTATTTATTGAGACACAGTGCCCTCCATAATTATCGGTACTCCTGGTTAAGATGTGTTCCAATCCTTAAAATAAGTTACATTTTTATTGCAGAAGCAGACTGTTTTCCTGAAATTTGTAGAAATGGTTCACCAGACAGAATAGAGCTCCTCATGTGGTAATCTCAGGCCTCAGACCTCAACCCCTTTAAAAATCTGTGGAGTGAGGTAAAGAGCAGAGTGCAGAGGAGAGGGCCCAGGTTGCTGGATGATTTTAGAAATATTAAATAATTCCTACTTGGATAGGTAGCTCACGTATGATTTGTGTAGCACAAGAAAATAACCACAAGCTTATATTGCCATCTTTTATTGCACTTTGTAAGCAGACGCTGTACAGCAGCTGTGCAGACATGTTACTCATCAGTGTGACACAACAACCCAAGCAGAACTGGGGCACATCTGAATACAGTCACAATTAGTTTGGTTTATATCAAAATAAACTAAGAAAAATAAAGTCCCATGGTCTCATCAAGACAGCTATGACGATTATGACAAATATCTACAAAGTACAAGGTCACACGAGGGAAGCACAATGGGCTACTGTTCCCATGAAAATAAAAATTCAGACAAATCAATACTCATCCGTGTTTTACACAGGGAGCACATAAAAATGTCTCTTCCATAATTAACATTTTCTACATTTTATACAAAACGGACAAGATTTCTTTTCTCGCATGCAATAAGCTACAGTGATTATTTTTATTCTCTTAGCACTGAATCACACTATAAAATGGGCTGTTGCTCCTTTTTTGTCTTTTTTTTTAGGAGGAGCCATTCAGAGGAGTGGGTAAACAGTCTTCTCCCTCAGTGGCTGTCATGGCAACATCATAAAGATAAAACCCACAAGCAATCCTCATTAACGTATGCTCGCTCGCACATGCGCGTACACACACACACACACACACACACACACACACACGGGGCATACATAAAACACATACACACACTGCTATAGAAATTAATGATATGGTGCAGTTTCTAAAACGTCAAACTAAGACCCCTGATACAGTACAATGCAGTGACACATCAAAAATATACAGCGTGATGAAAAGTAAGCCATCTGTGCGCATCCTGTATACACGATGTCAGTAGAAAATTTAGTGTAGGACCAGTGTGGCTTGAAGAGTCTATCCAAGTATTTTTTTTCCCCTCCAACACAACTAGTCCGTTCATATGTGAACGAGGCTTGATGTGTTTGACTGATCTAGAACGACGTGTGAGTGCTAGCACTTGCCCATCTTGGCTATTAGCTCATCGCAAATCTTCGTGAGCTCCTCAATCTCTTTGTTCTGGAAAACAGTTTGACAGAGACATTCGCAAGTTAGAATACAATACAACCCTCAAATATTTGTATAATCTGATGTTTTCAACCCCTAGATTTTGAGATGTATCCTAAATCCTCTGCATTTTTTAAAAATACATTTAGTTATTTGCAGGCATCAGGGTACTAATTGAAATAAAAGAATATTTGAAATGTCACCCTTGAACAACATCGGCCATCATGCACCATTACATTTGACTTCACTTTCACCCAATGAAGTAACCAAATCTGATTCCTGCCTGGTCAGATGAAGTGCTGTGATCCAACTGACCTTTTGCTCCAACGTGCGCTCCAGAGAGTCCACTTTCATCTGCTCCTTCCTCAGACTGGCTTGGTGGGCAGCCTGCTCCTGCTTGGACTTGGCCCTCACTTGAGCTATTTCTGCATTGGCCCTAGAAACACATAAGGCACCTTTGTAAATGTCCGACGGAAGTCCAAGTCCCGGGTTTGGAAACAGTTCAGGAAATATATCATTGTGTGTCGATGCAAAAACAAGTTTACTTGCTGGTGTCACCAGCGACCAGCGGGGCAACAAAAGCATTTATTGCTGGGTGGCTGTGGCTCAAATGGTGAAGCGGGTTGCCCAGTGACCGGAGGTTCGGGTCTTCAAATTTTGGCTGCTTTTGTTGCACTTTGGCTGCGGGTCTCGCTAGTGACACCAACAAGTCCGGCATGTTGCTGTTGCCCTCAATTCAAATTTCCAAACATGCTTTACCTGTCTAGCTTTTCCTCTGCATGAATCTTCAGAGCTTGGTACCGCTGTTCCTCTTTGCGGACTCTGGACAGATACTCTTGAGCGCACTTCTTCAACACGTCTTCATTCTACACAACGTGACACAGATCAATTCCTTAAATTCATCTTGGTTTTCAAGCTATTTAGTCACTGACAAGGTCCGTCATGGTATTTTAGTCCCCGTGAAAAAAAGTTACCTTGCGGAAACCCTCGAGCACATCTTTCATCTTCTCATATCGTCGGAAGAGGTCAGCCAGAGATTTTTCTACGGAGTTGAGGTCGGCTAAGGCCTGGTCTTTTTCGATGATCAGCTGTTGAATGGTGTGGTGGGACAGAGACTTCTCTTTCTGGTCATCTTCTACCACGCACACATACATAACAGTGTATCTGGTGAAAAGACTTGAATTGGGTACAACTACCTGTTGGAAAATGTAAACCGCCATACATTTGGAAAAATATTTAGACAGATCGTTTGCAATGTAGATTTTGTGAACCACAAAACAAAGAGTAGATGGAAAAAAGGGATCATCACAGATAGAGACAGAGAGTTGGGTTACTTTTGTGTCAAAGTCACCCTTTATAGGGCAAATGAACCTTTTATGGCCTCTTTTGAATCCAATCAGATTTAAAAACATTTAATTAGAAATATAGGGATTTTGATTATATTTATTTATTGATTTATTATTTTTATTTTTGACTGGGCATTCCCATTAGTTATGTTCTGCCTATCACAGTTTTGCGGGTGTACCATTTATAATACAGTACTGTAATGCTTAAAAATACTTGGGCTAAGAAACTGTCCAAGCATGCTACATATTTCTTGATGCGAGTGCACTCTGAGACTTGTAAGGTTTTCTTTTTTTTTCTGAGATAGAGTTCAGTTTCAGATCAGATCTTTTCTAAAATCTCCACTCCTCCCGCCTTTCTTGCTGCCACAGCGACAGCAACCGACAAAACCTTGATAGTTTTGCAACCACGTACGTTGCCAAAGTACACCCTTTGTCAAACAAAGGCAGTGGCACGCACACCAGAAACATCTTGACCACATCAACGCTGGCGCGAAGCCAAACGGAAAGAAAATGCCAAGACTTATACACAAATGAGAATGAAATGATATGAACATGGACAAGCACATGAACGTGGACATGGGGCAGGCTGTGAGTTGCGCTGGCTCCTTCTGTGACATACGAATGGGGAAGATGTGAGCGAGCACAAAAGTCGAAGCACGAGGCTGCAGTACTCACCTGGCATGCCTGTCGGGATTATCAAATAGTAAGGGGCACACATAGGAGCAGAACAGAAACAAAAGGGACTGTGTTAAGTCAAGCTGGGAGCCCGAGGCACGTGAGAGCTGAGCATTAGCAGAGTGTGACTTTCAGGTTTCAAAAGTCCCGTGGAAAAAAAACAAAAGGCCAAGAGCAAGCAGCCAAGCTGGCTTTGAGCTGAAGCACCTTAAGAATCTGTGGCAATGGATTAGCATCATGTGCGTAGACTCCAATTTGCAGTGCGCTAAAAGGTGGCGTGGGACAGAGACTTCTCTTTCTGGTCATCTTCTACCACGCACACATACATAACAGTGTATCTGGTGAAGAGACTTGAATTGGGTACAACTAACTGTTAAAAAATGTAAACCGACATACATTTGGAAAAATATTTAGACAGATCGTTTGCAATGTAGATTTTGTGAACCACAAAACAAAGAGTAGATGGAAAAAAGGGATCATCACAGATAGAGACAGAGAGTTGGGTTACTTTTGTGTCAAAGTCACCCTTCATAGGGCAAAGGAACCTTTTATGGCCTCATTTGAATCCAATCAGATTTAAAAACATTTAATTTGAAATATAGGGATCTTGATTATATTTATTTATTGATTTATTATTTTTATTTTTAACTGGGCATTCCCATTAGTTATGTTCTGCCTATCACAGTTTTGCGGGTATACCATTTATAATACAGTACTGTAATGCTTAAAAATGTTTGGGCTAAGAAACTGTCCAAGCATGCTACATATTTCTTGATGCGAGTGCACTCTGAGACTTGTAAGGTTTTCTTTTTTTTTCTGAGATAGAGTTCAGTTTCAGATCAGATCTTTTCTAAAATCTCCACTCCTCCCGCCTTTCTTGCTGCCACAGCGACAGCAACCGACAAAACCTTGATAGTTTTGCAACCACGTACGTTGCCAAAGTACACCCTTTGTCAAACAAAGGCAGTGGCACGCACACCAGAAACATCTTGACCACATCAATGCTGGCGCGAAGCCAAACGGAAAGAAAATGCCAAGACTTATACACAAATGAGAATGAAATGATATGAACATGGACAAGCACATGAACGTGGACATGGGGCAGGCTGTGAGTTGCGCTGGCTCCTTCTGTGACATACGAATGGGGAAGATGTGAGCGAGCACAAAAGTCGAAGCACGAGGCTGCAGTACTCACCTGGCATGCCTGTCGGGATTATCAAATAGTAAGGGGCACACATAGGAGCAGAACAGAAACAAAAGGGACTGTGTTAAGTCAAGCTGGGAGCCCGAGGCACGTGAGAGCTGAGCATTAGCAGAGTGTGACTTTCAGGTTTCAAAAGTCCCGTGGAAAAAAAACAAAAGGCCAAGAGCAAGCAGCCAAGCTGGCTTTGAGCTGAAGCACCTTAAGAATCTGTGGCAATGGATTAGCATAATGTGCGTAGACTCCAATTTGCAGTGCGCTAAAAGGTGGCGTCAGGAATTGTGACTCAAAGCAATTTGAATGTGCACAAAGTCGCTTAAAAGTGACGTGATTGTATTCAATCACAAACTAACTCACCGATCATCTGTGCAATCGTCTTCTCATACTCAGAAACAATCCTCCTGTAGATAAGAATGTGGAAAGATGTGACTCTGTAGTACTTTATATATTTTCAAACAAAATAAAGCAAAACCACTGAAATTTGAAGTCAGCATTATTTACATAGCCCAAAATAAAATACAATCTTAAAAAAAAAACAGGGGAGGGGGGGACACATGAACAAATGCAAGCGGAATAATAATCTCAGCCCCCCCCCCCCCCAACCCTTCTCCCTCTTCTTCTTGATCTCACTCATCTAAATTAAGTAAGCTAAGTAGTCAATGCTTGAGTGGACCAGCTGGACCTTCTGACCACCATCAACATTTCTATCCCTGCATCCTTTTAAGTACATGAAAAGACATTTGCTGAGCACATGTACAGGTGGTCAATTGTTGGCATATTAGTTGAATAAGAGCATGATAAAATGTATAAGCTATACTGTACACATTTTAGACAAATGGTATGAGTGCATCCGATCTGACAGCATTTTATGAGTGACGATTCAAAGCAAAGCATGATATGTACCTCATCTCCTGCACCTCCTGACGGCTGTCTTCGTATTTCCTCTGCCACTCCAGCGCCTCCCTCTCTTTTGTTACAATCTAAAGCAGCAAGTATCTCGTTGAATTGAGTGTGAAACAACAGTGTGAGACAACTTCAACACAATCAAATACAAAAGCTGGACCATTCTTCAAGATGACGATGATTTCATTAACCTGCTGTGTAGTGTTGTAGTTGTCAGTTATGGTGGTGTAAAAATGCATCATCCGGAGAGCTGATCCTAATATCTTGAGGAAGCAATAGTTTAAAAAAAAAAAAAACATTATGTCACACTATCTAGCTAGCGCTATGTGTATATAATACATAAAACTTTGAAAAAAGTCAAACAAGTCGAGTCGTGTAAGTTCCATAAGTAAAAGGCTAATTTCTTATTTTTTCTTCATGTTATGGTTGCAGGTCTGTCGTTTGGATTCCCCTAAATAGGAAAAGTAGCGACCAGGCAAAAACACACAATATTAAACATTTTGTAAAGTGATGTCTAGGACAGCATTGACAAAACCAGCAGTAGCATCATCAATTCGACTGCTATTGTATTGAAAGTCATTTGTACCGCAGAGTGTCTGAGTAGCTGACAGTGTTAAAAAAAAAAAGAAAAAAAAAAAGAGATTTTGGGGCACCTCCTCTTTTGCGATTCCCAGCGAGTGGTCCAGATCTTTGGGAAGATGTGGACTCTCTCCATCGATGTAGTTGTTGGCGGTGCGGGCGTACAGCATGTTCTTGGATACGGAACTCTCCGATGGTGACGACACATCTCTGTGCTGCTCCCACGATCCAAAGGAGAGGAGCGAAAGGAAAGGAAACACAGCCAGTTAAATCCCAGTCAAGACAAAACCCACCGCCACATGTGGCTGGACTGAACGTTCTCAGCAAGATACCTGAACCTCAACTACAAGGCAGCATCCAATCGCATCAAAAGGTACCACACAGCAAAATCAATATGTAAATGAGGCAGGCTTGCGATGTTCCCGAAGACTTGGTCAGCTGCAGAATGAGTTGATGGAACAGTCTTCATAGCCAAATGATTGGCTTGTTAGAGAGCAAAGCTTGTTTGCGATTGGCACAGGCACGGGAGGAGGGGGTACGGGCATAAAACGGCATCAAATAGAAGAGGGGAGGGGCAGGAGAGCAGACCGCACAGCATGACAAACATGTTAGTTTCATGGTAAAGCACATTACGTTCAATCACTTCTCTTACCGCAATCAAGACCTGGCTGATTGCTGACTTCTTTTCCAATAACACAGCATGAGGCCAGACCCAAACATTACAAGATGTTTAATTGGAAGAGGCTGGTGGCCCTTTGTAGTTCGCTAAAACGAATACATTCTGAGGGGATTTATTCAGTGAGATGGATTAGGGTGAGACCACACGGAGCTGCAATGACACTGAAACTACTGTAACACGTCAGAGGAGAGAATAAAATCTTGGAGCAATCAGGAGATTCTCAACTCTTGGTTTCGTTCCAAATGTGGTAAGGTGGTAGGGTGACTGTCAACTGTATTGCCTTCAAAGACAATTTTATTCCATAGTCCAAACCCATTAAGGTTTGACAGTGTTTGCAATTCTCACATGACAGAAAAAGCACCTCCATACATAGCCAACATATAATATTACTGGAAATCACCTCCTCATTTCCAGCTTGTCCTGTCTTGGCATTTGGCAAAAGCTACAAAAAAACCACACACATTCCACAGCAGCACGACTTACAGGGATAAAGTGAAACACAACATTAGAGGGATGAGATGAAAACGGAGGAGGACAAAAACTACATGAAGGAGCACAACAGCTAGATCGCTTGTTCTCTTCAGGAGACATTACGAGTGAGACTAAAGAACCTAAAACACACATTCTCACGAGGAGTGTACATCAGTTAAGATGAGACCGCTGGTTGTGTACATTAGGGTGGTCTCCACTAAATGGGTCTAAATGAGCTAGTAGGGGGTATACAGTACAGTCTTTTGGTATTTGGACAGTTGTCTTGACTATTTTGTGGTGGTTCCAACAATCACAAGTAACCGAATCTGTCGGTGAAATGTGTTGATGACCTTTATATTCGGTTCTAAATTGCGCACACATCCTTTTGCCTGTTTTGTATGTCTGTTGAAGTGATTTTTACATGAGTTGAGGATTTTTCAATTTCTTTGTTTTTTTTTATATCTATATATAAATGTTTAAATTGCTTGATTAATTTCAGCATTGAAAAAGCCATACATAGCAAATGCATTATAAATTGCACGTAGAGTAAAAAAAAAAAAAATCTGAAATTGTAGGTTAAAATTGTGGTTCCAATGAAGTGTTTTTTATTAGAGACACCATCTATATTAGCGTTTCCCAACGTTTATTCATCCAAGGCGTGGATTTCATATTCGAAAAATCTCACAACACACCGGCCCAACAAATATATCACAAAAGTTTACTTATCCTGGGTGAATTCTAGGCCTGTTTTGTTTCGTATAAACCTATCACTGTATTGTTATGAATGCTTACAGGACCGTTATGCCATCTAGTGGAAGGGTATTCAATTGTTCTGTCATAGATAAATGAACAAAAATATATCATTTGTATGGAATAAATAATAGAGTCGCTGATGGTGTAGTGGTACACTCGCTTGACTTGTGTATGGGCAGAGTGGGATCGGTTCCCACTCAGTGATGGTGTGGATGAGAGTGTGGATAGTTGTTGGTCTCTATATATGCCATGCGAGTGCCTGACGACCAGTTCAGGGTGTAGTCTGACTTTTTCCCGAAGTCAGCTGGGACAGGCCCCAGTGACTCCCCGCGACCCTGTTCACGATAAGTGGTGTTGAAAATGGATAGATGGATGACATAAATAATAATATTCACACCAATGAGGGGACATTGGATAGTTTCCCGAGGCACAGCTGATGATCTCAGGCCTGGTCGCAACACACTAACTTTCCATAGCTTGGTTGAGAATCACTGCTCTATAATTGCATCCGTTTGTATCGCATCCAGTGTACTGAGATACAAAAGCTAATTGACTGAAAAGCACTACTGTCAAAATATCTAAGGACTGAGCAGGACACGTGTTACAAGGGCAGGGCATATACAGGAAGTGTTCCTCTTACTTTCAGTAAGGGTGAACCGTTGATGTTCCACCGTCGTGTGCTGGGTTTCTTAAGGCGGGACTGCGAAATGTGTGGGACAAATGCTTGAGATATACATGAGAAACAACTGGGGAGAGATGCACTGTACACAGCATGTGGCATCTGTAAAATTGAAGTGCTCTTGCACAGTGCAGAACACCTCAGAGGAAAAGCCGCTAAATCTTTTTGACGCAAAATAAAATCCGAAATTGGGGATTTTAAAAAAAAAAAAGAGAGAAAACTACAGACACTACCCTGTAATAGATGTTTGTTAGTTGCTTCAGTAACACTAAAGACACTGAATGTAACCATTTTTTTGGAAGATGATCAACCCAACAAATGAGCTCCATGATGTGCACTAAATGCCGTCGCTGCTTCTTTACCAGTCACATTCAAGCCTCTTGTGAGCGGGCAACATGCAAAATAAAGGCAGGGATCTAAAATGATGCAACACTCTCTTCCTTGGGGGTCAGCCCGAGAGTGCTTGCTGCAAGTTTTTAGGCATGTCAAATTTGGGATGAGGGGAGCTTGATACTCGGAGGGGCTGACAATGCAGTGGTGCAGCCGACGGGTTTATAAGGCCATGAGTTCACTCAGAACGGTGTGTTTAAGGGGAGGGGGACTCATGCACCATTTCTAAAGTCCAGGTCTTATACATTCATCAAAATGCATCCTGGGCAAAGCGCACACAGGCACACACTTAAATCAGGTGCAGGACGAATCAACGCAGTACCTGGGGGGTTACAGTGGAGAGGGAGGGGCACTGAGAGATGTTTTTGGCTACTTGCAGAGCCTCTATCCGCAGGGCAGCAAGCACCAGCTCCTCCTGGGCCGCACAAATTGGGGGTTATCGTCGAATGTTGGGGGTGCGGCCCAAGGATGAGAGAGTCAAGGAAAAGCATATACAACACTTGAGTTGACCACACTCCCCACTCGGTCTGATGTCACTTCACTCAACATTTCTCACAACATGGAGGGAATGAAAAGGCAAAGGTGGGATGTTTGCACAAAAAAAAAAGAGAGAAGAGCAGGAAAGTTATCAGGTTGTTAACACACCTGGAGTTTTTGGGCGAATGCATTAGGGTTGGTCTCAGCGAGGTCGGGCTCCAGGTACTGCACTGGATGGTCACACTCAGACAGTCTTTCTAACAGGGACATGGTCAGGGCTGAAGAAGGGACCTCTTGGCTATTGAGCTATAGTGGGTGACCGGGGGGGGGCACAGGGCGGAGGAAGGCGGGGGGGTTTGAGGTCAGCATGGCAAAGCAAGCGCTCAGCGACTAAGTGGTAGAACTGGGAACTCATTGGATTATTGAGTGGAGTTTTCCAAATCCTGATTGCTGTCAGCCTGGCGACTAGGGATCACACTGAGTACTAAGAATAGTGTTACTGTGTATCCACTCGTCGTAATAACGGACATGGTATACATATTGGAAATTCAATTAAATGACGGTGACATGACAGTGATGCTTTTTTAAGAAATGCACAAAAAGCTACACGGTAAAATGGTTTAAAACATTCATCAGGACAAAGACTTTTTTTTTTTAAACACACCTGCTCATCCCTCTCTGTGCTTTGTGTTCGACTGAGCACTTCGCTTTCTCTTTTCCTGCCCTTTTCTCCAGCGCAGCCTTCGGGACCTGGCCGGGAATTTAGGACGGGAGTCTTCATGCTGGCTGTTATCTGAGCCTCCATTTCCTCAAAACTCCTGCACAGAAACAGAAAGCATTCAATCCAAATTTGTAGAAGTTTCATCCACAAGCAAATGCACTATTTCAAATGTCAACTTCACTATTGCAGTTGTACCCTGTGCATGGGGAGTTGGGCTCCGATCCATGTGTATCCTTGGTTGCGGTGTTTGATAGCGAATCCAACTTTAGGTATAGTGATGGCTTCTTCACAGACGGTGGCTACCAGAAATGTGAAAGTAAGTGAGTTGATAACATATTTTTGATTTCGTCGAGTTACCACTGAGCCGTGGAGCATATGCTGATACACATGATGGCATGAGGAATGTCGATCAAATACTCACAGATGAGGAAGAGCCAATTTTCTCTATGTACTCTATTTCATAGTCTTGCACTGAAAGGCAAAACAGAAGCGGATGAAGCGTTTCAATGGCTGACACCTCCAACAGACTACAGATGGACTGAGCTCGAGCAACTAGGTAGAGTAGTAAGGAACTGGGACAAAGGGCTTGTATGCATGACACAGCTAAACTCAAAAAGGAAAAAAAACAAACTGTCCATCCAATATGTTGAAAAAGAATCTGTTGAATGTTATGATGTGTGTGTTCAAGTCTAAAGATGAACTCATGAGAGCCATGCAACTACTGGACAGCACGTCTCACCTGAAGACTGAAGACCACTCTCATTGACAAAGGATGTCAGATCCGATGGGTGAGGAAAGTCCTGCTGGTCAGAGTTCAAGTCTGCATCGACGTCGTGCAAGCCTGCCCACTTGTGATTGGTGGAGGAGGCCAGCTTCTCCTCGTCCGTGGCGTGGCCGTCCTGTGGAGGAAGGGGGGCGGGGTCATCTGCATCCTGCCAGTAGAAACAGACAAAGTTAGACGGAACTCATAGAGCACAGTAAGTGATATGCAAGATTTATATATGAACGTTACCTGTGCATTGTCGGACAACTGTGATTTCTTTGGTGACCGCTTTACTCTAAAAGTGTTGCTGTGGAAACAGACCGCCATTAATCGAGAGTCACACAATCAGCTCCAAACTCTTTACGATCCCTAACCTCTGCAAAACAAGACTCTCTGATGTTTGCATAGTCACAAGATTTAACCGTTTTTAAAAAAAATTCTATATTGGACTGCAATTTAACACGGTAAGATTGCTTTACAGTGACAGTACACTTGATTACTTAACACATTGCCCCCCCCCCCAAAAAAAAACGAAAAAAAATTGATCGAGCCAAAGTACTTGTTAATGTAGCAGGTAGCAGGTTGGTTAAGAGGACATTGATTACATTTAATGACAATTGTGATAAAGCTGATTGATGCAAAAAAAGAGAGAATTAAGTGTAAAAAAAAATAATAAATGTGTAACATTTCAACACTACGTAATGTTCTCTACAGTTCCAGGGAATAATAGGAAAAAATATTAACTATTCAACCCCATGACATAATTGAAGAATGAGTATGTAAAAGTATGGCTGAAAATACCGATTGACTAATTTGTTGCAAAAAGGCTTTTCACTGCCAGTCATCATGAAGCACTCTCCGGTGTAAAACTTGTCATAGATTGTTAAATGACATTCAAGTAATAGTCTCCTTCAGTGGCGTGCGTTGCTTTTTGAAAACGGCAACACACAAACCGACGTTAAGACGTAAACATTCCGAAACAGTTTCGCTGCTTGTTGAAGGGTTACATTAGTAAACTTTAATGAATCTCACCCTGGTTAGATATAAAACATAGACGATTTGAATGTCCTGTAGCTTCTGTCGATTATTAATGACAAGAAAATGGGTTGTTGGTGGGTGTGTTGACTGAGTCGTGGGCTGTTGAGATGTTGAAGTTAAAGGCTGACTGATAACCCCCCCAAAAAAAGAAGAGCTGACATGCTGGTTTATGGGGATCCACACGGAACTGGGAATGAATTAAGATGGATAGTTGTGTTGTCACCGTACTTACAACAAACAACAGAGTGTGGGCACACCTCTGGACCTCCTGTGACATGAGAATACAGTGCTTTGAGTGGGTATCAAAAGTCTACACAACTTGGTTGGAATGCCAAGTTTTTTAGGAGAACCAAGACAAATCATTTCAAAATCTTTTCGTGTGGACTTTTCATATCCACTGGTCCAGGTGACAGAGAGATGGACAAAAGGCATTCCAGAAAAATGGGCCATGCATAAGACAAGCAGATCCGAACAACCAAAAGACCAACAATAATGTTAACCTGAGTGCAATAACCACTCAGCGTGAATACAACCAACTTACGATTTGATAGGAGTTTTCTTCTTTTTGGCCGGTTTGTTCTGATTTTGATCTTCCAGCTCCCCGATATTGTCGTTATCATTTTCCATGTCATCATTTGATGACATCTCGAAGGAGGCCGAGGCCTTCGGGGGTGAGGTTGCCATCTTGTTGGAGGACTTAAAAGGGTCGACTATGGAGTCGTCAAAATCAAAACTGTAGTTAGGCCCAGATGCTTTCGGAGAGTTGGCTACGGCTGTCTTGGTCAAAAATGGATTGAAATTTGGATCGTCCCATTTATTTGACTCAAAGTCATAAGAACCTCTGGAAATGGGCTTTTCCTCTTCGTTCCCATTGTGTTCTGCTGGAAGGTTATTGTCCAGCTGCTCGGTCTGTCCCGGGTGGGCCTTCTTTAACCCAGACTTTGGTTTCCTCAGGGGCATCTTGGCACCAGGTTTTTTGCCCGGTTTCTTTAGTGGGGGAGACGCTCCGTGTGATGCCTCACTATTCTCTTCTGAGTAATCAAACTCCAGCCTCACAGACTCCCGCTTCGGTAGAAGAGGTTGCTCTTCTGGCTTGGTAACTGGTGCCTCTGCAGAAGCTGGATGAGGAAGCTGACTGACAGCAGGGATAGGGGGACTCTCTGGCGGGGAAACAATGGGGGCGCATGCAAGACCTTTCCGGCCAAGAACAGGAGAGTTGGCAATCTTACTCCCACCAGTCTTGAATGGGTCTATGCTCTCAAAGTTCTCTGGATCCCATTTGTAGGAGCCACTGGGAGGGTTGGAGAGGTTTTCTGTGACAGGAGGACTAGCTGGAAGACGGTTCTCCTCCCGGCACAAGTGTAAGGCAGGGCCAGTGAGGCTGGGCTCTGGTTCTATATGAGTGTTTTCTTCTGGTAGGGGAGGTGGAGTGTCCACACGGGTTGTTCTCGTCTTTCTGAGGGTTCCTGCAGGACTTCCACCTTCTGCAGGACTTCGGCTTTCTTTTCCCTCCGGAGTCACAGTTTGATGCTTTGCTCGCTTAATGATCTCTGGGGTGCTAATTGTAGAACTTGGCTTCTCTGGGTTAGAGTTCTGCCTCAGGAGAGGCTTCTTCTTTACAGATGCAGGGCGGACTTTCCTGGGCTTGCGTAATGTCCCCGGATTGCTATCTGTGCCTACGCTGAAGGATTCCGAATGAGGGCGGAAGCCTTGTGTTGCCGATCCATCCAAGCCCGAAGTGTCAAGTTCTCCACCCTGGAGGCTGAGAGAACGAGTAAGTGGTTGACTTATTGTCTCGGAGGCAAAATGTTCGATGTTGTACGTGCCACTGGCAGCAATTGGCCTGTCCTCATCGAAAACTATTGCAAGAGGCTCAGAAATCGCGTCAGATGAGAGAGCTCTCACGGAGGTATCTTCTCCTGAGAAAAATGAAGAAAAGATCATTATGAACAGGAAATTACTTTTTAGGAGGTTGTCAATGGCTCGTGGATTTTTGCAATGCCCCTCATGAATTTCATTTTTAATGCAGAGCAGTGATTAAACTATAAAACGAATATGGTTTGATAAAGAAAATACAGGTTACTTAATTGTGGTTCATAAGATAAGATATCCTTTATTTGTCCTACGTTTGTATTTGTTTATTTATTTTAAATATATGTCGTTACTATGTGCCAAAATTCACAAATTATCGCGCCTGCTGACTTGTGCATACCAACGCAGTGCAAATCACTGAGTCAAAAATGTTTGATTAGTTCTGTTGATCCAGTCTGCTACATCTGTTAAAAAGGTATCATGGAACTTCAATTATCTTTGTATTGAACGTTGTATTGTTTAGAGGTGGGAATCGCAGAGTAGTAAGTTGAAAGTAATACAAGCACTTTATCACATTCACATCACTGTGTGCTAATCAATATTTCAAGACAAAGAATTGGCAATACGTGACATTATCTATGGCATGTACTTTGTTGATATTGTCACAGTCTTTTTTTTAAATATAAAAATATCAGTCTTGCAATTCTGCTGGATAAATTTGTTGACAAAGCCAGATCTGCCAAAATAATAATCACAATAAGAGATCATCAGTCCACCCAGACCTGTCTGGATAAAGATGAAAACGAAAAGTACTGCTTAATTCCACTAGGTGATGCAAGAGGAGCCCCTTTTTTTCCTTTTATTTGACTACCATCGTATTTTTTTTTTCCTGACCTTTGTCATCAGTGGGTATTAATTGGTTCTGTGGATCTGCGGGAGCCTTCACTGGTGTTGTCGATTCAGGAGTCTCGAATGCTCCATCCGAGTCAGAGCTCCTACGACAAAAAGACAATTGCAAACAAAGTCAATGCTGGTATGGATCATTCTGATATCACCATGATCGTGAGCTAATAGGCATTGATATTTTACCAGCCCAGTATTAGGTCAAGGTCAATCATTTTGGGTGGCAATTCGGAGGACATATATAAAATGTCAGGTGTGGGAGACAACAACAGATGTAAATACAATTGGTTTGTTTTTCAACAGCACCAGAAATGTTTCAAATGAATAACAAGTACATTGGAATCAACGCCTGAATGATCATCACTGTGGTATTCAGTAGCATGTGTCTCTCGCATCCCATCCTGTCTCACCTCTGTCTGACCAGCGCCCCTCCAGCCTTTATCATGCTGTCATGACGTGAGCTCCAGGAGAGACGCCGGAACAATCCGAAAGCTGGATCCAGGTCTGGACTGCCTGCTGCCCCTCCCAGCAGCGTGTCCCAGCCCCAGCGAGCCCACTGCAGTGGAGACAGAGCCTGCCACGCACTCACCGCCATAACGTCCAAAAGACGACAGCCAGCGTCTGATTCACAGGTAGACGCCCACTGTCTGTTCTGCACAGGATCCCTTCCACTGTGATTTTCAACATTCAGCTCTCCCCTTTCTGATCAACTGTCTCAGTCCTTCCTCATTGCTTCTCCACTGATCATCATCCGTAGCCACCGGTCAGCAGCAAAAGACGCCTTCCCATCTGAATGAGGCTGCAGACTGCTTGCACAATTTCCCTTCCCTCGCCGAGCCTTCGTCTCTTCATCGACTTTCCCCCTCCCTACACGTCTTTCTCTCCCACCACTTTACTCAATTGAGAATTCATGTACACGAACGACATTTATATTATGCTGAAATTACCATGGAGACAGACGCACCCTTTGTCTTTTTGGGATGTGGCCACTCTGACACGTGGACAATAAAAACGAAGATGAAGAGATTGAAATTGCTGTCGTCAGTACGGCCAGTGCCACACGCTTACGCTTGCTTTCCATTACTAGACACTGTGATGTGAGGTACAGTAGACGAGTGAAATAGTAAATGTATGCGATATGAATATAGTAAGAATTCTTGCTGGCGTCTTATTGAGATCTGCCATTATCCATCCATCCATCCCTTTATTAGCAGATATCTGAGCAGGCGATGGGCCAGAAGCAATGTGCATCCTTGGATTCTATGCCAGTCAGTCGCCGGGCAGATATAGACAAATAACGATGTGGCATGTGGGAGAAAGTAAGAATACCCAGAGAAAGCCCATACAAGCACAGGGAGATTCACTCAGTGGCCTGGGCCGAGATTTGTATCCACATCCTTTTGATTGTGCGGAAGCTCGTGCGACAAGAAAGTGAAATAGAAATAGTTCGTACAAGCTGATTATACCTCATTTCAATGCTCAGTTTGTCTCTATTGAGGCGCCTTCTTTTCCATGCAACTGCATAACTGAGGTTTCTATGGTAACTGGAGTTGCCGCCGTATGTTTCATGATGGTGGAGGAAAACTGTCTGGCTGCACATGACACACACATTCATGTATTAGAGACCAAGCATGGACCTCTAAAGTCCATCGAATGAATACATTTTTCAACTTCATTTTATAACTATTTTAGTACACTACACAGACGATGGAAAGTAATCGTTTTGTGCCTTAACTTTGACACTTTCTGGATTTAAAGCTATGTATTGAGCATCCGTAGTTAGTGGTACATGTGTACGTAAATCCTTTTTCATCCAACGCATGTTAACATGACTCTTACTCATCTGACAATGTCTTTAATGTTAGAATAAATCCTCGCAACGATTGAAACTCTGGACAAAAGATGCAGGGCAGGGGGACAAATCTAAATAAACAGAGCACCAGCCAATGTTGATACAAATATCTAATCGGCCTCAAGAGAGATGCCGATAACAACAGGATGGAGGAGGCATGGATACCTGCCGCTGCTCTTCACACTGACTGGCTGATCCCTCCATATCACATCTGTCCTGTGGATCCTGATGTCATTCTTCTTCTTCTTTCTGTCATTATTTCCTCACTTTTCACTGATGCCCTAGTTTACGCACTACATTATCGAACCAGCTATTCCCCCCCACTCCCATCAATCAGTCATCTCTTGTCATGTGACACTTGATACATGGCAAACGCATATGGATGGAAGTACAATATAAACATGCATTCCAGCAGATAACAGAGATAAGAAAAAAAAAATTGTCACTGCTGCCAAATTCATTGATCAATTATAAATATAAATTCAATTATCTTGAATTGATCAATTGAAATGGGCTATAAAACAGAGTAAATAAAGGTAACAAAATACATAATCTCCTGCTTTTCATTTACAAGTGGATGCACGAAATAAAATCATCTGGCTACGGATACATTTTTTTTAAGTAGATGAGACATCTATTTAAAAAATTGTATCTTGAGCCAGCTGCTTTTACCGTGTGCAACCACTTGACGAAATAAAATTGATTAAATTCCACACACCATTCTTTCTTCAGTGTACGGTTGTACAGTAATAAATTATATTGCTACATATTTTACATACATGCTTATTTGTGTGTACTGTACTATACATTAGACGGGAATCTACCAGCAGAGGGAGCTATCGTTTTGTTATTCACCTGTGCAAAAGTGCCTTGGAAAGTGATGATGATGATGACGTAATGTTTATTGCACTTCCTGTTTACAAAGAACTGCAGTAGTCATGTTGTTTACAAGTGTCATTTTATGATCCGGGCGCAGCATGAAGAGGTTTTATTAATGACTACGACGAAAGCCCAAATCAGCTGCAGCTTTGAGAGAAACCCCAGAGAATGTTTTCAACCTTTTTATACCTAGAACACAACCAAATCCAGAATAATTCTCAAAACAATGAACCAACTGGGTTCCCACTTTAAGAATGAGGTAATCCCACATAGCCTAATCTGACATATTGAGAGCAGACAGATGGCACTTTAAAAAAAAATGTATTGCATGAGCACCAAGGAGAGGGTTAAAAAGATTAGCATCGCGATAATGAGATCAGATGGATGCATGATTCAGGGACACAATTCCCAACATCCATCACAACACAACTTTTATTTTGGATTTTTTTTTTTTTTTTTTTTAAAGAACATCGGTTGTGTCATCTCAAACCACTTCCAATTTTGCTTTCCTGGGTGCTTTCTTCAGGGCCCTAACTATGAGCACGGTCAAATAAATATACATGGATGTGATGCAAAGGACAACTCACACAAGCATTCTAGCAATAAGTATTAAAGTCTTCAGCGCAGATTTAACCAAGCCTCCCTGTGATAAATCATTCATCCCTACATTAAAATGACATCTCACTGCACGAGTCCTTGCTCTCCAGTGCCCAAGTGTGTGAGCTATAAATAAAACGAAGTGGAGCGCTCTTCCCCTGTCTCTAACTCTATCATCCAGTAATATTCCGGCACACCGTGCTCCATTTCAAAACGGGTTCCTGCTCCGCGGCAACAACAATGGGGAGCAGGCTAAACGGGAGCCGGCCAGCTTGAACTCACTGCCTCCATCTGGCTTGCACGGTCTGTTTATAAATGATTCACATGTGCAAGTGACTGCGCATGTGCGCGGATCCTTTATTTACATCACAAAACCAAATGACAACAAAGATCCCTTGCCTGTACTACGGCTACATGCAGCCAAAGTAATACAAATGCAGAAAGTGGTGATTAAAACAATACATAGAAGCTTGAGACTCACATGTGTTCTTGAGTAGGACAGAAGGTCTGTCCTTGCTCCATGGATTCGTTGGCTCCCATTCTTAGCTACCTCTGCTTCCCCCCCACACCTGCGCCCGTAAGTCAGCAACTGTCCACATCCACCTGCTTCCTTCTTCCCTTTGCTGTGATCCTTGACGGCAATGTGCCAGCTCCTAACGCTGCACTGCAGAGAATAACCTCATCCTCGCATCAAATCACCGGGCAATTAAATGCTTGCCAATTTATGCAAGGCTTCCCTGAACCTCAGCTTCCACACACTTGGTGGACGTGATTCTGTTGCCATGTAGTTCATCTGGAAAATGATGCTCAAACATTCTAGTACAAAGGCTCGACTAATCCAAAATGATGCAAGAAAAAGCCAGCTTTCTTCGTCTCGCGCGTGTGTACGAGGTGTCTCTGTTTGAGCTGTGATGCTGCACACACTGCCTCCTCCCCCTTCTATTCGCTTTGACACCCCCCCCACCCTCCCCGCAGCAGCATCAGCAGATGCCTGCACCTTTAAAAAGACAAGCAGCCTTTTTCTTGACGACTACCACAGCCATGCGGTGGGGAATCAAACAATAGAACCCCCATAAACAGCTTCTTCAGCATCCTTTAGACATGATGCCTCATTCTTTTGCTTTTCCTCGCCCTAAATCCTTCCTTTTTCATCCAGAAGCTGCATCAAAAAAACACTTTCAGCCTCCTTTTCCACACAACCACAGTGTGTCAGAAGTAAACATAAGTCTCAGACATAATAGTAGTGATTTGATTTGAGTCTGGCCAATTGTGTCAGTAATTCTATACCAGCTTGCGTATAAGATCCAAATCTGTCGCTCCAGCAGCCCTCAAGTTGAACCACTCAGAATTCTATTTAAAAAAAAAAAAAAAAAAAAAAAAAAACATCCACCGAACCATCCATCCATCGTTTTGTACCACTTATCCTCCCAAGGGTCGCATGTGACCTGGAGCCTGTCCTGGCTGAATTTGGGCAAGAGTTGGGAGACGCCCTGATCTGGCTGGCAGCCAATCTCAGTGCACATATACACAAACAGCCAAACAATTTGGTCTTCAATGAACCAAACATGCATGTTTGAATGTGGGAAGAACTCAAAACTGTGAGGCGGATGTGCTAGTCACTTATTCACCATGCTGTCGCAACCAAGATCAAAACACAATGTGCACAAAACCTTTGTTACAGCTGTGCATGACACCTTGTCCCTTATCAAAGTTAAATGTGTTTTTTCTTCACCTATTTGTCGTTATTCACCTATTTGTAGACTTCAGACAAGTGAGATGTGGAAAATCTCCTTCACATCGTAAACTCATTTACAACAGTTACAATACAATTGCAATTTGACCATGGATCAGATTATTGTTTTCCAATACAAGTTTCAAAATTCAAACCCAAATGTGATTTTAAGGCTTCATTACATTGACATTTTCTAAATACATGAGTGCTGGTCCAATTTACTGCCCTCCTACAAAAAAATTGAGAGGCGTTAGAAAGCCCAGGATACTTTGATTTGTCATTTTTAGACATCTGCTGTACAATGAGTCCCGTGGGATGAAATCAGAGCAGGAACATGTTTCAAAAAGTTCCTATTGATTGTCCAAGGAGCACTGGGAAACAGGGGGGGTTCTGAAATTTAAGGAGGATGAATCAGCTGTGCATTCATGGCAAAGTGTGTGAATGAAGGCTTACTGCAACAGAAGAAACTGCCTCTAGCACTTGAAATCTTAGTAGCAGAGCTTAAGGAGTCTCACTGAAAATATGAATGTTGACATGCTGGCTGAAAAATGCAAACTCGTCAGTTGCAATGCACAGCATGCACCAGAGTGGCAGTAGTTTTGCCTGGGGAGAATAGTGGGGGGTTTGCGATGGAGACGATCCATCAATGGATGTTCAGGGAATATTAACATAATTCTGCTCTCAAATGGATCTAATGCTCGATTTTGAACAAGCCGGAGGGGACAAGAGAGAACGCCACCCCCTCTCACTGCTGCACAGATTCTAAAGCAAAATTATTGATTGGCACAGCCCTTTCCATGTTCCAAGCATGCAACAAAAGCATGTACTACAGTGATGCGCTATTCATGAATGAGCTCTTATTTATAAGCCTGGCCTTACACTTTAGCCTCATATGCAAATCAGACAAAGCAATAAAATATTCAAGGCACTTTGGAAGTAAGAGATAAAGCAATGACAGGGCTTCCTGAAAGATTTAGCTATAACATGGCCGCAGTGAAATCAAGGTCACGATGAGCAGCACTAAAAAGCCGTTTGCCACTCGCGGTTATAATAAAAAAGGTTTCCAAACAAACAGTGAAGAGGTTGACATTTGATGTCAAGGTAAGGAACTTAATCTAGTTTCATTTGTTACATGTCAACTCAGAATAATTCTACAGCATATGTGTCAAACTCAAGGCCTGGGGGCCAGATCCGGCCCGCAACATCATTTTATGTGGCCCCCCCGACAGAAAATCATGTGTGTCAACTTGCATGATCCTTGCTAAAAAAATGTACCGAAATGTCAAATTGTCATCTGTAATAAATGCTGTTGAGATTTTGCAATAATTTTGTTACCCTCACAAATAATAATGTGATAATGTGATTAAACATTTTTGTGGTTTCACTGTCATAACAGCCCTCTGAGGAAAGACCTAACTGTAAAGTGGCCCGCGACAAAAATGAGTTTGACATCCCTGTTCTACAGTATACGTAAATTCAAAGTGTATATTCAATAAACTTAAAAAGAAGCAACATACCAAGCTACCAGGAGAGCGACCCTTTCATTTGAAATTGAAAAGTGCTCACGGAGTGGAAAAAAAGTAATTGAAAGCATGAAGCTAAATCACTATGTCAGGGGTACTGGAATAACTCATAAAAAATACAACGTGTCGAGAGAGCTCGTAACGGGGTCACTGCAAAATAGTGGTGCTGAAGTGAGATCCATCCATCCATCCATTTTCCAATCCGCTTTATCCTCACAAGGGTCGTGGGGGGTGCTGGAGCCTATCCCAGCCATCTTCGGGCAGTAGGCGGGGGACACCCTGAACCGGTTGCCAGCTAATTGCAGGGCACACACAGACAAACAACCATACACGCTCACACTCACACTCACCGAGGGACAATTTAGAGAGTTCATTCAGCCTGCCATGCATGTTGTTGGAATGTGGGAGGAAACCGGAGTACCCGGAGCAGCTCAAGTGACATATAAATAAAAATCAGCTACTCTGTAACTGAAAATGCAAAGGTATTTTCGGAGAACCTTGGATATCTGGACACTGCGTTTTGAACTGACATCCGTATCCATGACATTGGTGACATTTTCCAGCAGGGAATGACAACATCAGTTTGTGTGGGAATACACTGTTCTGCTTTTAGTATACGTTGCATATCTTATCTCCATCATTTGTATTTTTTTTTTTTTACTTTTTAACCGATGTAGAGTGATATGTGACCCCTTTAGTGTGTGTTGTTTACATGTGGTAGCGAAAAGAGCAGATGAGTCAATGAATAAAGGGAGAGAGTCCATCTGGTGGAGGTAAAAAGCACTGCATGGTGTAGTGCCTTTTAACTCTCTCACAAGGAGTTAAGAGAATGCTAAAAAGAAGTACAATTTCAACACAATTTGTGTTGCTTTGAGCTCCAGGTTGAAATTGGGCATTTGAGACACACCTTTCACTGCAAGATATTCGGATATTGTACACGTAGCTCATTATGTAAATGTGTTCCATGTCAACTTATTGGATCCTACTAGGATTTGAAAAGTGAAAATCTCTCTCTCTCTCTCTCTCTCTCTCAAAATAAAGTCAACAAGAATAAACATAAAGGTAGATACACCGGCTAGAATGAAGGAGTTTCATAAACAATAAAATAGTGTCTGCAAATCTACACCGTCCTCAGTATGAACTGTATAATATGATTGTGTAAACGTCTGACATCATTCCTGATAACTAAATATCATTCACTCCTCACAACTACACAAAGGCACAATGGCACAACACCTATTTTCCATTTTTAAAACTGTATTTTTACTTTTTCTAAGTATCATATCGTCAGTATTATTTTTTTGTTGTTTTTCTCAAAACATTAAGAAAAAAAAGAACATATTTAATGCCGGCCACACTTGGCCTCCCAGCCGGCCCGCCTTTCACCCCTGGTACCCCGGGCTACGCCCCTGGTACCTTAAAGTAGCAGTAAAGTAGGCGGGTAAGCTGATGGTCAATTTTTATCAAGCAGGGTAAAAGGAGCAGCGTCAGACATGCGTACGGTTACCATCTGAGCTGAGAGCATGCATGAAAAGAAACAGCTCAAACCACATCCGCACAATGCCAACAAACTGTTTTGTGGATCTCACACTGAGCAAAAAAAAACATTAAGGGACCGTTGATACCTTGGAAGGAGGCGGCAAGATGCAGAGGTTGGGCAGGGGTTGTCACTCTGGTAACTAGAAGGTGCCAAGGGGGAGGCAGGAGCCGGAGGAAGAGGAAATTGGTGGGGAGATGCAGGTGGTGTCTTCTCTGGTGAAGGAGATGCAGGTGAAGGAGTGGGGAGCTCGGGAAGGGGAGCAGTCGGGAGGTGTCTGGGAGAACTTATGGGCAAGGCAGCGCTCCTCTCTGGTTGTTCAGTGAGGGGGGGTCTGCGGGAGGGGGAAGACAGAACGTCAACAGATGCCTCTTCTCAAGTGCTACAGACTTACCTCACTACACCTCTGTGACCTCAGCTAAACCAAATATTGACGTGAAGAGTGACAACCTTGCTCAAACCATCCCAAGTTTGGCTTTGGAATCGAACTGCAAGCAGTCGAATCCCTTTCTCCACCTTACGTTAGTCTCGTCTTTCTCGCCTTGGACAGAACGCATGAATGGAGAAGCTTGGCCAAATGTGTCATGCATGGTCGTAATTGGCCATCTGGGGGTGTGGATTTGGCCCTGATCCAGGTTCATCTTATCAAGAGCGCTAGCCTCTAATCCGACAGGCAATGCGATGGACGTGCAGGCAGCTGTTACCACTTGGGACAGGCCTGCCGCTTAGCTCTAAAAATATTCCGGGGAGACTGCAGAACTAAAACATGTTTCGGGTAGTGGATTAGCTGGGCAAGGTTGCCAGCTATATTAGGCCCCAACTATTCAGTAAAATTTCAACTTAACTTTACAGTGAAAGAGCCCTGGATTGGCCTTTGCGGTGAGCGAGTGGACAATAAAATCAGCAGTGTGCGCTCCGACAGGAACAAGGCAGTTTTAAATATGCCCTTATTTATTACTACTTCCTGTTTCAGATTTAAGAAATATACTGTACCTACGAGACTCGACCATTTTCATGCTGCTTCATCAATCTATGAATTTGAAAAATGCTACAACTCTCCAATCTAATTTGGCCCTCATGTTCCCCATGACAAATTCTTTCAATGCCAAAAACCTTTGTGCATACTGGAAATAGGCGAAGCCAAGTCACAACATTGTGTCATACAATCTGCGAGTGGCTCTCAACTCAGACAAAAACAATACAGGTAGAAAATAGATTTGAGAAAAAGTGACACTGGACACTGTGATTCTTTGTAGTGTAGATAGAAAGAATGTCAGCGGAAGAGGTGAAGTTAACAGCTGGCTCGTTTCCACATTGGCCCAGATTAAATTCCAAATCAACGTTAAATAAAGAAAAAAAGAGCAACACGGGAGAATGTGCTCCTTTTCAGTGACACTTTAACCATAGTCGAACCTTTGTTAACACCTGGACACTCTGCGGCAGTCAAAACATTTTTGTCTGTGTGGGTTGCTGGGAATCTCAACTCAACTCAACCACCGCTATACAAAGTGCTGTACGTGGAGCAAATAAAAAGAATTCATACAACAATGAAACAATAGATTAATAACGAAAACAGTAGAAAGCACAAAAAGAGTCAAACTAAAAGTCAAGTCTCATCCTGAGTCAAAAGAATAAGAATGAGTTTTAAAACGAGTTTTAAAGATGGGCAACGAGGGCTTGACGAACGATCAGTGAGGAAAACCACATTTCTTGGCTTAATGTGAGAAAGCAAACAAAGGCAGTTTCATATTAATATCTCAACAAATACACACACAAACCAGTGACAGCACTGGAATTAAAAAAACATGATCACCAATTCTGTAAAGCGCAGAGATTTAAAACATGAGCCTAAACCTTACAACTCAATCACAACTGACAGATTATCCACTCCACTTGTATCATCAGAGGCATATGCAGGTACAGTTGCCATGGCAACTCGTCTATTTACAGTTCACTGTCGCACTACGGTTAACTCCTTTTTCAAGCCAGCACATAAACGAGAAATATCATTCACATATGTTTTAAACATGAAAACACAATGCGAGGACATCTCCGCATTCTTCCTGGGACTCTAAATGTTAAAAAGGCAACAAGTTACTGTGTCGACCAAGCACCAATCATGAGCGCATATCAAGCAGGTGAGAAGGGTGAAACACATTGTAAATGTGTGAGTCATTCCAACTCTTTATCGCCTTCTGTCTCTCCGTCTTTCGACTTGACCCTCCCCTCTGCCCATCTGCCGAGGTCAGAAGAGTGCAAGAGTTACCTTCACGCCATATGCTATGTCCACCTGGAGTTACTTAAACAGCACACGCACACACCCACACACACACCCACATAAACACGTACACACACATACAGAAAAGAGCAGTTTTAAAGCGACTCACCCATATTTCTGCCATGGCAATAGCCTCACATTAAGGCTAACTAAATTGATGGAAACGCTTCTGGCGAGTTCCAAACCACCAGAGGCACTTTACAGTGTGTCCCAGGGCCCCTGCGTCATTCGCTCACTCTGACCGAGTCAGTCATGCACGCTCAGCACACGGCACATGCTCAAGTGTTTGTCTTGAACTCTGGCTTTTGTTCAACTGTCTGCTCTGTGCAAATGACTTCAGAGGGCCCGAGTACAAGAGGGCAGGCTGGAGCTGGACAGGCAGGGGAGGGAGGACGCGCCTGCTTGGGGGCGGGGAAAACACACGCACACGCACACGCGCACACACACACACACACACACACACACACACACACACACACACACACACACACACACACACACACACACACACACACGAGAGGAGACAGTGCCGCACCAGGTCTAGCAGTCCCCTGCAATATGTATTCTGTATTGGACGCTCTCAAATTATGGTCACCGAACACTCATTTTGATCATCTTAATTTTTATTTTTTATTTTTAATCAAATGGGATAGTTTCACTTCACCCACAACCCTGAACAGAAACTGGATAATATATTTAATTCATAGTCTTGATTCTGTCGTGAAAATATTATGTAATCATTTTCCCAAAGGTGGACAAAAAAAGTCCAATTTGAAAAATGCTGAATGGATCAGAGGTGAGATAAATAAAAATGAATATTGCGGTGTGTATATAATGTTTCTTACATTATCGAATTCCTTCAAAATTGATACAGACAAGTCAGCTGTTGATGTCGCAATGTTTCATATTGGCATTCTCTTTTTGGGTCACTACACAAGTGTCAAATGTCATTAGCACAATGTCTAGGACTGTTTTTTTCCATACGGTTCAACGACAATTCAGAAGCATAAAATATCGATACTTGCGATGTCTTGGATCATTTTCTATTCGGTTTCTGGAGCGGTATACAAGCATCATCAATATCATGACAATATGATTTTTCTTGCCCCCTATACAAACTGTAACTGGCCACAGCTTTATTGGACTGGATTTTCATTTAGTATATATTTTTGGCATTATCTACATATCAGAATAATATTCTTTTGTGAGTTAGTTTGTGATCATGACCTTGACAACACAATAAGTGAGCCACAACCTGAGCACTGGGCCTGCAGCAGTGATGGGAGAGTCACTTATAAAAGCGAGTGAAAATAAAGTCATGCAGATGACGATAGCCATTATCCGTTATCGCGTTATCAAGTCTTAGCAAGAGTGAGCCAACATATACTGTATCCCTGTGAATGACACAGACTTAAAAGCTTTCAGCCTTTACTCTAAATGCAGAACAAATATTATTCAACTGGTGAGACGAAGAAACAGCGCAGAAGGCACCAGAGCATCTCTTTACATAGAAGTGACTTCTGAAGTTATGGATTACCAACATGTGACTTTCCATCCAATTCAGAGTGTAAACACCTGGGAGGGAAGCATGACGCCTCTGTTTATTCTCACTACAGGCGACTTACGGACGAGAACATATCATCCGTCAGCTTTGTTTTGTTGTAATTATGACACTTTTAAGCATGGATGATATTGTTTAAAAAACAGACACTCACCCAATTTTCTGTAGCACCAACGTAGGATCAAGGGCCGCTTCTGTGCTTTCCTCGGCAGGGTTTTTAGATTTCTCTTCTGGATGTTCACCGATTGGCTTGTTTGGTTCGAGGTGTTCTGTTATTTTTGGACTTTTTTCCAAAGATTCTTTCTCCAGTTTACTCTTGTCGAGTTCCACGAGCTCACCTGGGATCTTTGCTGGTTTTGAGAGTTCAGTTTGATCCGCTGATATTTCTGCCCTACTTATCGAATACTCTTCGATATGATCTTCTTCTTTTTTGACAATTTCTGTCACCTTTTGGGCCTCTTCTAGCTGTCCTGCAAGATCCAGTTCAGGATGTGACGTTGTGGTGTCTGTTTGCTCCTGAGGGATCTTCTCTGGCCCCAGAGGAATAGCTCCGGCCTCAGTAGGAGTGAGAAACTCTTGCTGAGGAGACTCCAGAGATGGGAGGGCTCTGAGAAAACAAAATGAGAAAAAAAGGGAGTGGGATAATCATTTAATTTTACACCACATGCATGAGGAGTGACTGACAAACGACAGTTGTGTATGTCGGTCAAGCTACACCGGCTTGTTTAGTTTACAGCGCTTGAAACATGTGAGTGTTGGATTCTGTCAAATTGTGCACGCTGTGTGAAAGAGGGGGAAAAAGGCCCATTCTAGTCATGGAGAGATGTCACTAGTGATGTCATCCTTTCGATATAAAGGGCTGCATTACTTCCAGCAGGCCCCAACATCTGAACTCAGATCTCGTCAAAACAAAGTGCAGCAGTGTACTTACCTCCTCATTCATATTCATTGTAAGCCTCTTTTCTTCAACAACACTCCACACAAGTGTTGAACATAGTGTCACTGCATGACATGCGTACAGATTAAGCGACACAAAACAGATTTGAAAGTACTGAATGGTTCGAAAGACATTTTTTTTATATTGTACAAAAATCATTAGGTGTGCTTTATTTTGCATCGGGTTTATTGTTGAAAAAGCTGCAAGAATCCCAAGAATGTACAAACACCAGTCACCTTATAGAGTAGACCTGCAAAACGTGGATTAAAAAAAAAAAGATGCTTTTACAAATGTAATAAATGCACAGCTCTGATCGCGACAGTTGGAGTGATTGTACAAAATGTTGATTGTTGTGGTTATGGAACTGTGACACATCACACTGAATCCTGTGTAATATCCATTTAGTTAAGGAAGTTAACAAGAAGATCAACGATTTTGGGGGGGGGGACAAAAAAACTCCAGTCAATAAAAATAGATTTCTCTGTGCGTTGTTCATTCCACTGATCTAATTGTGAAAAGGCATTTCGCTTATAGCATATAAACTTACATTTGAAACCCCCTGACGTGCTTTTGTTTACCTTGGGATTTCTGCGCTCTCTTGTTCAGTCTGCGCATCGGAAGCAGCTTCTCTGAGAGCCGTGATCCAGTTTGGGTCTGGTTCTTGCGTCGTGAGTCCAGCAGAATTGTCTGACATATGGGATGCTTCTGTGTCCGTGCGGGCATGTTCAAAATCAGAGTCACAGGCGAGAGGGTGCACCACGTCATCAGCCAGTGGCGTTGGCAAGGAGATGAGATTGGGAAGTTTCTCACTTTGGGGAAACGCTGCCTGAGAGAGCATTGGATCATCATCTTGTGTCTTTGATGGAACACTGGGTGTGTCTTTGGCGACGTTGGGTTGTGGATTACGAGTTGGGTCGTCGTCATGATCCATTGTCTGACTGAAGTTGCAATCATGGTGACAAGCGTGGTTTGAGACGTTAGCAGATGACGGCTCGTTATCTTGAGCAACAACTGTTACTCGAGGTCCATTCTTTTTTGTGGCCTTATCGTCTTCTACTTTAACCTCACTTGTTCCCTGCATTGAGAAATCTGCAATTTCTTCATCTACAGCTACTTTATTTCTCCCTGCAGTCTCGTCTACATGCGGTCCTTTTATGGGCGTTTGTGCTACTGAAGCATTTTGTGGGGCTGAGCTTATATTGGAGCACTGCGACTCAAGAGACTTACATATTCTATCTGGGATTTTATACTTCTCAGTTTCACTCGGACTAACAGCTGTATCATACTCATTACTACGGGTGCTTTCTTTTTCCGAAACGGACAATCCCAAAGGTGAAATATCAAGATCAGCTAAAAAAGGCTCGGCAGAAACAGTGTTGCCTCGTAACCCGAAATCATTTCCTTGTAGCTCTTCAAATAAATCTGAATGTTTGCTTTCTGTCTTACCTTGACTCTCCATACTATTCCGAAGTTCCTTGTCATGCATTAAATCTGTTCCTGAGCCCTCCTCTGCCAAACCACACGTATCATGACTCATATCATGCCCAAACTTGTCCACGTGAGCCTTTTTTGCTTGCTCTAAAATATTTTGTCCAGTTGAGTGTCTGCTATCAGTTAAATCACAGACACTCACTTGCGATTCCTTCATTTCAACTTTCTCTACACCAACTGCTTGTTCAGTAATACCGCCGTCATCTCTTGACAACTCACCCTGGCTTTCGGATTTCTCAAAGGATCCCCAGTCTCTTCCTACCACCTCTGTTACCTCAGAAAACGGTGCTTGGATCGCTTTGACTCGGCTGTTAGTCTTTGCTCCCTCTTCAAATGCCTCCACGCAACCACCTGGCCATCCATCTGTGGAATACTTGGATAGCAAATCTTGCTGCGGTTGCTCCTGTTGCCGAGCCAAACTGTTCAGTTCAGGGTTTGAACTAAAATCGGTTGCTGTGTCTCTGTTGTCCTGGTGCTCCACTGTTTCTGCCAAAATTTGGGGCAAATACTGGTCGAAAACATCATGAAGTTCACTTTGTATTTCTGATTTCAAATGATCCACAATATTTGGTTCCGTACTTTGGATGTCGAATTTATGTGACTGTGACAGGTCTCCAGTTCCCTCTTTAGCGTCTTTATCTGAGTCTTCATTCTGTTGTGGTGTCATATTTCCTATGGGCAGTTTGCCACCATCTACTGTTTCCTTTTGATTATTGAGCTCCTCGGTTTTGCATTTGAGTGACACGGACGTTTTGTCACTCATGTTCTGTTTCTCCTTGAGGCCACATAGCTCAGTGTTATCACACGTCCCATTGGGCTTGTTAGAGCTGAGTGGGCAAATGTCAATAATGACGTTGGGTGTTGCATGAGTCACATCATGAGAGGTATCATTTCCCAGTACACACTCTGGATGTTGTTTTTCCTCTTCCAAAGGTGTCACTTTGGAGTCAGATGGCAGAGTGGTGATACACTCTGTATCATTTCTACCCTCTTGTATCAAACACATTCTTGCTACTTCATCATTAGCTTCTTCACGTTCCTGATCGTCTACGAAAGACAGATGTGTCTCAGTACTGTCACAGTTAGCATTGTCTTTACCAATTCCTTCAGAAAAAGCAACCTCAAATTCATCAACCACGTCCAAATTACTTAACAAAAGGCCTCTCGGTTGCAGCATTGACGTAGAATGACTGGCATTTTGCTCACAAACAGAAATGGACTGCTCAGTGGCCATCGCCCCTGAAACTACTGACCCACCCTTTCTGAGGCCAACGGGAGTCACAGACTTCAAGTCCTGCCTCGAGTCAACCGGCTCTGTGCTAACTAGTGCATGAGCGTGTTGATCAAACTCAGCAACAGGCTGACAGCTGAGATGTCTGAGTTTTGTCTGAGGAGAGATCGAGCAGGCTAACATCCCAGTTTCAGAATTAGCGATGGAATCAAGATCACTGGGAAGTTGTCTATCGGGAGACTTAGTCAAGACATCTCCTATTATCTTCGAGGTAGCATTACTGACAGAACTTTCTCTTTCTTTGACCACAAATACATCACTTAGTAGCTCCTCTGGGTTGTCAGATTGAATTGGTTCTTTGCTATCCATTTTGATCTCAGGTGTGTTAAATTCTTTTGGCGTTAGACACAAAACGTCAATGGCCTTTTCTATCACAACTTCTTGCTGCTTTGTTAACATCTGATCCGTTTTTTCGCATGGTTGTTCACCAGTTGACTTTGCTCTTTTGAGGTGCTTTGTTGTCCAATCACTTTGTTCTGATGACTCCTTTGTTGCTTTATTTAATTCATTCTCAGTGAGTTCTCTAGGCTCTTCGGCACTTTTTGCTGATTCTGTATCAGCACCTGTGGGAATTCTGGCGGTTTCAACACAGTCACCATGTTCTGCATGACTAAAATTTTTCTCGGTTGGTCTTTTTCTGTCTTCACCGGACAGATCGCTCTCAGCATTCTTGAATGTATCTTGTGTACCCACAAGAACGCCATTCTCTGACATTGGTGTGGCAATCTGAAACACGGCTTCATCCTTGGTAAAAGATATGTCACTGCTGGTTTCCGGCTTCTTTAAGCTGAGGAAGTCTGGGTAAATATAGCTGGCCTCAACAACAGGATGGTACAAACTCTCATGTACCGTCAACGGAGGCAATGAAGCACATCCCGAAGCCGGCATTGGCATGTTTCTCACCTCTCTAGTGACACTATGGTCTTCTTTCACACTGTCCACAAAGCGAACTCTGTTGCAGCCTCCAATTTGGTCATGTAATGACTTACCCACAGTGCTGTTAGTAGTCTGAGTTGGCTCTTGAATGTTGACTTCTCTCTTAGTAGCAGTGGATTTGGGTGTGCCTGTTTCAGATTGGACCTGTTGATTGTCGCTGGTGGTAGCGAGTGAGGTTTCCGTGATCGCAGCCACCTCACAAGTGGTTCCTGAACACAGTGGCTCCTCAGACTTCAAATTGTGCTGGGTGCTGACTCCACTTTCTGCATTGCTTTGTTCGCTTTGAGGTGGCAAAGGTGAAAATGCTGCAGTGAGGTCCTCCTTAGTGCAAGGGCTGTCTGTGATCGTGCCACCGCTGCTCGGTGACTTCACACATGACTCTGCAACATCAGCGGCTGGACACGGCTTTTTTTCAGCTACCGACACCCCTCTAGCAGCCCCCTCTGGAAGGCTGAATGAACTGCACTCAGCCACTCCTCCTCCCTCCAGTCCTGCAGTACAATCACTCAGATGATCACCAGTAGCAAGTATCCCATGGGGAAAATTATGAACATTTTCTTCAAAACACAGCGGCTCCTTTTCTCTATCGCCCTCTCCTGCTGGAGAGATCGCTGCCTCTGCACTGCTCGTCTCCTTCTCTCCTTTTGAACAACTCTCAGCCGAAGCGTGTGGCATTCTGCTGTCGCAGCTTTCCTCGCTAACAGCCCGTCTCAGTTCGTTTGGGAAACGAGGTGTACAACAGACAGATGAAAGCTGGATGCTAGTATCCAAGAGGCTCTTCTTCTCTCCGTTTCCCTCCGGCTGCCTTCCTGGCTCTCCCTTCCCGATGCCTGCGATAGCTTTGGTAGCTACTCCCTCCCATGAATCACAGCTCACGCGTTCTCCCTCACTTTTTATCACTTCTCGCATCGTGGGTGTTGTTAGTGGCAACGCAGCAACCTCCACGAAAGCATCTTCAATGGCCCTCTCCACACAACTCTCTCCCACACATGCCGGGATGCTGCAAAATGAGCTCTCCAGTTTGTGTATCTGTGCTTCAGTGGAAACATTATCCTCTCGTGATTGATATTCTGAAGCCTTATCGAGAACATCAGCGGTAGTTTGAACATGTGTTATCCTTTGCTTATTGATGAGACTTGCAGTTGTATGTTGTGTCCTCTGTGGATTGTTGCCAGTCTTGTTATTTTTTCCACACTGAGCATCTGTTACATTTATGTCATCAGACTGATTAGCATGTGAAGAAACAAGACTGAATGTAGAACAGGCCAAGTCGATAAAATGACCCTGCTGGCTATGAGATGAGTGGGAGGGGCTTGGCGTTCCCTTGCGACAAAAGCCGTCATTAAGCTGCGCTCCACACATCATAGTCTCTCTGTCTGACACTGAAGACGCATTTGGCTCTGGCCGACAGTGATTGCCTGTATTTATGAATGAGACAGACTGTAATTCCTTTTCTGCTTCTGCTGCCATCCTGTCCTCCACTTTGGTTTCGTTGTTCATCTCCACCCTTTTCTTTTTCTTGTGCTTCTTTTTGTCTCTCTTTTTCATCCTTCTGTTCTGCGCAGGCTCACACTGTTCGCTGCTTGCAGAAACCATTTGTGCGTCGTCTTCCAGTACATCTTGCTTTTCAGAATAATGACTTTTAGACTCTGAAAATTCGTGAACAGAGTAATTTGCATCAGTGTGACTTGGATTTATAGTGGAAGTAGGAATCTGATTTCCAATTTTTAAGTCGACGACTTCATTTCGATCAATGTCTTCCTCCACATTGTCCCTATTACAATCCTGTGTGCTAATATCTCCAGTGGCCGCGTTACAATCAACATTTGCTTCATTCAGGATGGCACCTTCAGCCATTTGCTCGAATAGCGACTTTTCTGAATGTGAATCAGGACCTGTTTGATTCTGCTCTGCCTCCTTTGTTATTTCTTCTGGCGCAGGATTTTCTCTTCCAAGTATGTAGTCCCTGAAACTAAACACAACTGTATCCATCTGGCTGCTCCCCGTCTCACTGTTTCCATGTGTACTTTTGTTTATGAGCTTGCTGTTACCATGTCCAGACCGGTCCGCCACATGAGGCAGTGATGATGACTCATCACACTTTGTAACTGTGGCCGGTCCAGGTTTCCGATCCTCTTCGTCAACTTTTTCATGCTTGGTGCTGATGGGCTCTTTGAGATGAGAAACGCTCAGCGAGGCCATTTGTTCCTCGCATTCCTGAAAGGCCGCCAGGAGCTCCTGGTCGAGAAGCACACGCGAAGGAGGGGTCAAGTATTGGCCAACTGGATGAGGTGTGGCAAGTGGTTGAGGTGACAGCGGGGCATCTGCGAGGAGTGGGTCGGCGCCGTGAGGCCTGAGACGAGGGTAGGGTGGCATAGTTAAGAGTGTGGACTTGCAGACGCACAGCTGCTCATTCCATGATTCCACACAAAGCTGCTTGTAGTTGACGAGGCTCATGCTCAAGCACTGCACTCAGGCGTGTGCACGCACAAAGCAACTTTAGTTGAAAGGCCTATCATATACCAGCCAGTTCAAAACAGTTGCTTGTTAATAAATAACAGCCCTTCACTCTCTGACCGCAGCATTTTCGAGAAAGTACATTCGTTGTTAAAGCCTGCGTTTCCATGTTACAGAATTCCAGGATCAACGTTACAAACGTTACACAAACCAATCGATTATTCAAGCACTGACAAAGCATTACAAAACACAGAGTTCAATAATGCAACTGTTAGACCACAGCTGAGCCCTATTAGGTGTTCTACACAATGCTGTGGGATCATCTGAACCTCTACGATCCATTCTCTACTTGACTCAAGAGGGACAACTTATGGAACCATTAACTGCATCATGACCAGCCGGACTAAACTCACTGTAGACATCATTACGTGCACCCACAGAATATAAAAATACAATCATGAAATATTCAGAATTATATAGATAATAATTCTCTTTTTTGATTGACAATATCAGTTAATTTAATTATGTTTATCATGATGTTGATATGGTGACTGAACGCTCCTCTCTGCTAATCAAACTCTTCTATTGGACATACTTTCACAATGATTTGTAATCTACGCCACCTATTTGTTTAATTTTTATTTTCCCACATTATTTATTCAACTAAAACAGTTTTTAATACCTGCTGATTTAATCTTGTGTTTAAAATATGAGTTGCTTTTGGCAGACTGGATGAAGTTTATATGGCCCTAACGCACACAACCTTGCAGTTTATTTTACAACGGGACAAACAAAATGACAATAAATGTTCATTTCAGTGGCGTAGCATTGCGCTGAATCATAATTACAGCTATTTCTAAAGCTTTTTATTAGCCTATATGGCTCTTGTACTGAATCTTATTAATGGTGTGTAGGTGAGCCGAATGTTTTACAAATTTTACAGTCTGCAAAATGTTGATCTAACATGATGAAATAGTACGTCATAATCACAGTAAGGGGTTGCACATTTTTTATCGGAAAGCCGTTACAAAAAGTGTTACTTTTGGCATCTGGTTTTAATTAGTAATGATTGTTCTTGCATAGGCAGTACAAATCCTATACTCTCCTTGTTAGAGGAAGCAGCATAAAATAGACAGCTAGAACTCTGCATGAATAAGGTTCTTTTTTTTTTCTCAATGGAGTAATACATGTATTGTAATTAGTCCATTTAAGACTAACTTGCTGTACCCAATCTACCAAATTGTTTTGGTAAAACAACTCAGATTAATATTAATTCACCCAAGCATTAAAGTGACTTATTTCTCAATCTTGCTTTGATGGGACAAAACCCACACAGCAAAGATGTACAGTATATCATACGCAAACATAAACATAACATTTCGTTAGCTTCCCCGTATCACTCCATGCACTCTGATAACATTACTCATCAGACAGTCCAGTACCTGCCATCTAGAACTACCAGAGGATGACTGACTTCCATGTGATGTTGCAAGCCAGCCAGCAGGGGGTTTACCTGCTCACATGACCCTTCTGCTGTGCTACTCTGAAGCCTGTTAACACAACCCCAGGACAAGTGCACATACACGTTCATACAGAAGAGAAAACAAATAAAGACCATTACCATTATTGAACATGTGGTGCAGATCTGTACTATTTACTTGCATCTATGTACAATTATACATAGAACTGGTGTGAGTATTGTTTGGATGATACAGGATGTGTTGTGCTCTCTAATATGGGTAACGTTCCACTCAATCCACATCACGTGAGCGGCAAAGTCATTTTACCGTAATTATTCAAAATGAGAGAAGAGGCCCAAAGGTGTTACGTGTTGGTGAGTATTTCGTAATATATATATTTTTTTCTAACCTCAAACATTTATAGTGGAAATGTGATCATGATGGTGTAACTGGCATAACACATATTTTCCATCCCACACTCACCCTAGTGAGGACTCCCAGATGTTAAGGTCACTGGTAAAATCGAGACTGGGCAGTAGGTCATGGGGAAACTCCAGTTCCTCCTTGTCTTCAGGGGCTTCTGACGTACCTCTGCTCTCCTCTACACCGGAGATGACTGGGACATCTAGGAGCACTGGCTGGGAGAGCAAACTCTGCTGGCTAGTGGATGCCTGAGTCAACAACACACCAGCGTTCTTCTGGGCTTCAGTCTGTAGGGAAGAAAAACAAAACAAAACACATTGGAGAGCTACAGGTACAGGCACTCTACATAAGACAGTATTCCTCAGCGTTTTTGTTGGTTCACTATTCATAAATTTAACACTTTTTTTCAATGGAACCTATTTCTAGGTAGTCACTGAATAACTCAGCTTTTTGCAATTTTGTTTCATGCGCTTTCTGAGATGCTCTAAGATGCCACTAAGATGCTGTAATTTGAAATAAATTCTATAACAACAAAGTGTGACCATCTTAAAACTCAACTAAATATTTTTTAAATAACTTTTTTAACATTGTAAATTGTCATACAAGTATAAAAATAAGTGAACCACTGCAAATTGAGAAAAAAAAACAAAAAAACTACCCAGCCTTTGAAGATACCTGACAGAAACAAAATAGAAAGGTGTTTGTAGAGCGATACTAATGGTGCAGTTACATGCAAACAAACTAATACCACTGAAAGCCTTTGCTCTAAAGCTCCCCCCTGCAGCTGCGGGGTGTGATTTCATTTGCATGCAGTGCGTGTTTATACAAAGTGACAGGTACGGTGCAGGTGAATTTGGTGACAAGCTGACTGAATGAAGCCTTGTTCACTTCTTTGCGGAACAGTTCACTTAAAGCTGAAGTGAACAGAAGTAACAAAGAAAGACACAAGAAGCCAAACCAATCAAAGTATATGCTAAATGCTAACACAGCAACATCTCGAAAATCTTTAGATGAACATGTATACGATCAGATTAGCACAGCAATCTACGTAGCAAAATTGTTAGCACTGATGCTAATGCTAAAACAACATTCACTGATGTCTTGGCTGATTCACCTGTCTTTTCGACCGCGAAAGTCTCTGAGATAATAACAGATGTTATTCTGCTTTTAAGAAGTCTGCTATTTCAGAAAAAAACTTACTCTAGATACAAATCCATTTTGGTTCTTTGAAAATAACATTTAGAACTACCTGGGTTTTTTTTTTTTCATTTATTTAAAAAAAGTATTGAGTGGTTCTAATGTCAAATCCCTTTTACATGTTTGCGTGTTGGGGAAAATGTAGAAACAACTGCAGCTCTAACGCCAACAAAGATGAGTAAATAACTCCACCTATGTGTTAGGAAACATAATAAAGGTTTGAGTGTATAGCCTGCAGTGATGCACAGCTAATATTTACCGATAACTGATACTCCACTAGACCTTCCCAGTGTGCTTTCATAATAATGAAAATGAATACCTAAGCACCACAGCGTAACGTGCTATTTTAAACACCTGCAGACAAGTACTTTAATTAAATAAAAGTGGCACATAATTGCAGCAGTCGGTTTTAAAAGTCGGAGTCACAGTTGTCATAGAGGAAAAACCAGCCAGGTGAGAAAAATCTCTGCGTAGGCTAGATTTTTTTTTCTTTAATATTTTGATTTTGAAGAAATGGTTAGGGTGTCTATTTAAACGACCAGCAGTATTACTTTATTAATTATGAATGTTTAAATGCAGCAAAAGCAGCTTGGACACATACACTATAGTAGCGGCTAGTTTCAATGTGGAACTTAGTTTGTTTCTGTTTGTTGTCAGTTGAAAATAAAGGTCTCCATCAAATTGTCATTTATGAGTTGGCGTTGTGGGGTGAAGTAAATCGGTGTAAATATGCAGTTCAGTTAAGGTGGAGTCAAAAGTGTGGTGAGGTGAGTGGCGTCACCCATATTGTGACCGTAATTAGTTTTGTTTGTGCCAAGTCGTGTCTGATACGGGTTGCAAAACTGCATGTTAGCATCTTCATTTTAATTATTTGAATCCATTCATCCATCCATTTATTGTCTATAGCACTTATCCTCATTACGTTCACAGGCAAAACCCTGGACAAGAGGGCGGGTATACCCTGGATTGGTCGCCAGCCAATCGCAGGGATAAAAGAAAAACAACCACTCACTCACATTCATACCTATGGACAGTTTAAAGTGTTCAACCTACCATGCATGCTTTTGGAATGTGGGAGGAAACTGGAGTACCCGGAGAAAACCCACGCAGGCACAGGCAGAACATGCAAACTCCACACAGGAAGGCTTGACTTAAGAGTCGAACCTCAAATCTCAAAAGTGTGAGGAAACCACCATATCACCCACAACCTGCTGACAGTTTTTCTTCTTGATATTCTCTTATTTTTAAAATGACACATCATATGGCCAGTGGTTCTTGTTGCTGCTCAATTATTGCATTTCCAAATGTAATCATAATGCCTTTATCTTCTTTACTTTCATTATGATGATTATCTACCCCGGCTTACATAGTATATTGAATAAGATAGATAGAATCATAGAAAAATTACCACAAATGTATCTATCATTAGATGCTTGCAATATTGTCCAGCACTCACCATAGTTAGTTCTTAACTACCGGTACTGTAAATGAGAAACACTGGTGGAGTTCAACACAGCAACACACTAAAACCGCAATTATCAAAACACTGCAAAACTTTCTGACAGTGCCAATGAAAACTGGCCATTATCTACGTCAAGGCAGATTTCTAAATATGGTTCAGGTGCAAGTGTAGCCAATGACACCTCTGGTGAGTGCATGTTATTGGTACAACTTGAACACTCATCTGCCTTACTGAAGAGCAGCTAATGTCACTGTGGCAACTGTCCACTCAGCACTATGAGAGGCACAAGCAAGGTTACTGCAATACACTTTCATTAAAGGCACATCAACTGTATGAAACCATTTGGAAGTTTGACACAGCAGAGTGCAGCACTTATTTCGGCCTGTAAAAACTCCTCATCACAGTACACTCTTGCTTTCACAAAACTTGAACGCAAATTAAAATAATGCAATTTGTCATTGGCCACTTGTTTACACGTGAGGTATTTCACACATGACTGTTGTACAGCGTGCCGCTGCTTGCCCAGGAGACACTAACAGAACCTTGAAAATAAGGCACATTACAGTAGAAAAGATTCATAATGTACTTACTCAATATGTTCAAGGACATTCTTTCCTTTCTGACCCTCCACTGTACTCCACTGCCTCTGCGGGCCCAGTGTGCTGTTTCAGAACACACAAACATGCTCCAACACATGCAGCCGCTCTCCTCTTCTTCCCTTGGCTGAGTCGTTTCGCCAGCCCCTCCTTCTCCTGCCTTCTGCCGCCTCCCTTCTAAATTTCCATGTGCTTCCTCAAAATCTTTGACTGTGCAAGCGCTTGTGTGCTGGTAGTACAAACACTGCTGCTGAATCACTTGACTGGCAGAAGGGAAGGGCTGGGAATTCTCCTCCCCCTTCCATTTTAGCACTGTTCCTACTCCCTTCTCTTCCTCAATTTGCCCTCGCCTTCATGCTGTACTCCTCCCTTTCCACCTCTTTTCCAGAACACACCCTCTCTTCCCTCCTTGCGGTTTGTGTCTCTTCCAGCCGGATGCACAGTCTGACAGCTAGTGGTCATGCAGGTGAATGCTGGGAATTGGGCCAAGGGGCAGGCCTGTGGTGACCCCCCCCCCTTCCCCCGGGAGACGATCATGTTGCACTGCATGTTGCTTTTTGTACACACACACACACACACACACACACACACACACACACACACACACAAAAACTTCGATCGCATGCCTAGGGTTGTTTGTAAGTGACATCATCACATGACAACACAATTTCCCTGATGAATAAAGCAAAACGCTGAGGATTCACAAGCAGTGATCCAACAACCAATAAAAGCATATACAATATTTTAAAAATGCTGTCTTACCAAGACAGTAGACAGTTGGGTAGACAGACAAATAAACTATGAATAAATATAATTCCAGGACAAATTATACTGTACCCTTTGAACGTCATCATCATTTCATGGGTTAATGTGAACAAACGTGAATATATTTTTGGAGTATACAGGGTCTATTATGGAGCATTTCAATTCATGGACTTTTTCTGACATCAGTGTTGTGGCTGTTGTAGTATACTTTGTTGGGTGTCCTTGAGTTCCCAGAGAAGCGCCTGAAAATAAAATGTACGATATACTCTTATACTATAATTGTCCATTATGATAGTCAAAAAATATGATATTCATGAAGGAGTGAAATGTGCATTATTTAATGTCTGATGGTTTATTTTATTTGATTAGATTTGTAGAAAAAATGGGTATTGGGAAATGTTTTTTTTTTTTTAATGCACGCAAAACTGATAAAGTTTCTTCATTCAATACAAAACACTCACACTTTTCTTTTTTTTTAATTTAGTACCTGCAAGGGTTCGGTGTGATTTTCTTGGGGTGGAACCAGAACAACATGTTCACGAGCGCCCTCTTCTGGCTGAAATTACAAATTTGATGGTTCAACATTTTGCGGGGAGAGATGGAGATCGCTGACATTATTAGTAAAATGATGCATCATTGTTTTCCATACCACACCATGTAAATACAACTCTCTGGGGCTCGTGACTGTTTAAGAGGCCCATCTGCATTAATCCCATCAGGATAATCCAGAATTCCAATTGAGGGTCTTGAGTCACATGTGGGTACGTTGCTATAGCTACAATTATACATCCTTCCAGAGCAGCCCAATAGAACACAAAGATGGGTGGAAAACAAATTAGATTTGCTTTCATAAAAGCTATACAATTTTAGATGTTGCTACGTCACAAGGGTACAAAAGCATTTTACCTTTAATTGCTTGTCATTTGATATTTGCAATAGTGGTATTAATAGTAGTAGCCGTAATTGCATTAGCATCATTAGTAGCCGTGTTAAAATCAGTACCTGAGTAGTGGTGGTAGTAGTGGAATTTTTATTAGTAGTATTACTGACACAGTAATATCATAGAAAGGAAAGGAGGAGTATTAGTATTAACGGTATTGCTGTAAATATCAGAAAGTGTTTACAACCCCTGACAAAAAATAAAGGATAACCATTCTTGTTCATTCAGTTCTTTACATGTTTAAAAAAAAAAAAAAAAAGCAGAATCCCAAAAATTCTCATTTGAAATGACTTTACCTTTATGTCATGTCTGCAGTCTGCATTTTTTTCAGACATTTAAACTACTGAATGAACATTCTGAGACTAGTGATTTCATACTTTTGGCCAGGGTTTGAAGTCAGAGCATCTATTTGGTTCCGGTAAGTTTGGTTAGTTCTCTGCATGTATAAAAGGAGTACTTTTTGGAGTCATAGAATTGGTATTGTTAGTGTTTGTATAAGTAAAAGCATGAGTAGAAGGACGAGTAGAAGCACATGTATTGTGAGTATTTGTGGCAGTAGTTGTAGTGCTGAAAAGCATAACAGCAAACGCGTCTCTTGCGTGTCCTTACCAAAGCCTCAGTCGTGCTGCTCTCGTTCCCCATGTCTCATCAGGCCGAGCGGCACGAGGACCCTCCAGGCCTTCGCAGACTCAACACAGAGAGACAAAATGTGCAGGCAAGCTGAGGTCCCTCAGTGAGCGCCTTTCCCACAGGATTAGAGCAGCAGACAGAGAATGGGTAAGTATGAAAGTGTATGTAGTTTTGGAGATTAGAAAACTGAACCTGTGATTACAGTACCACTCACTCGCTCAGGCCAAAGTGCAACCTTAACGACCCTCAGTATGGGCTGAAAGCCAAAAGAGCATGCCCAATTACTCAAAAACTTATATTTAATACATTTCCCGTCCACTGCATTGAGAAAGAAGTGATTCAAATAATATTTGTTTTTGTTGTTGTCAAAGCGATATTGTGTCTATGTATAAGAATATGTTTATTTGTGGGTGTTGTTGAGCTACCCTGCATCATAGTGCCAGCCTATTCTAATATTTTGATGACCTTATTTATTTAGCATCATGACAGGAGCAAAATATTACACATTCTGTTACAAACTACACCCCCAGTAAGAAACATACAGCAATGTTAGACTACCTTTCTAGGTGTCATATCATAAGTCCGTATACTATGGTGTAAATGTGCAGGTTCACTTATCCCCCAGGGGAGCTTGTTTGTGCATGGCTGATGATACTACTTAAAAGTGCGCATGCACAATTAGAAAGCACTGACCTGAATATGCTAGATTTTAAAAATAGATACATCTGCCTTGTACTGACTGTTCCACCACCCCCCACACACACACACAGATTTGTGAACAGTTCATGTACAGTTCGAAAATTAAAATTATATCAACCCCAGAATCTCCATGGGATCCAACACAATAGCTGTCACAAAAATCTTTCGTTCACTAATGACAAAGTAACTGACTCATGTTGATGTTAATAGAGCTCATGACTGAGCACCCCCAAAATGTTATGAATACAGATACTGCATTTGTCTGAATCTCATTATTACATTATAGATGAGGGGTCACCAACCTTTTTGCAACTTCTTGGGTACTGATTAATGCAAAGGGCTACCATCGTGATACACTCTTCTGATATCAGTCATTTTCTTAATATTACCTTTAAATGTCAAACGTGAAGTGAACTTGGCAGGCCATCTTTTGAGTAATACTTAAGGCTAAAACTAATTCAAGCATACTTTCGTCAGTTTTTTTTTTTTAACGCAACCCATCCAGGTTCATAGTTAGACCCACAGCAACGCACTCAACAACGAAAATGCTTTTTTTCGGCAATCTCCGACAACTGACGTCATTTACAGAATGTCGAGTCGCCAGTCAGCCATTGTAATGCATTGTTGCTTGTCCCGTTAACTGCTCTTTGCCATTCTTATCGAGTTATTTGACAAAATGCCTCTGCACTGTTTGTGATAATCAATGCATAACTCTGGCTGTTGTTTATGAAATCATTCGATTCAAAGTATTATACGTGTACATGAATTGAATCCTGTACAAAAACATTCAAACTATATGAGTGCATGGATGGAACCCTCTGTCATGGTCTGCAAACAACGGTGCTGCCGATTTTTTATGTTGTTGTCGACAACGCAGCAGAACTACCTTAGCTATAACAATGTAGGACCCCGGCCCACTATGTACTGTCAGTGCTAGCGGGAATACATCGACCAAGTAAGTAATGCCATCGTGCGCAATTGACAGCACGGAAACAATAACTGTAACAACCACAGCCTATATAGTTTCTTGACCTTTAATAATATTATGTTATAATTCATGTAAATATCACAATAATTAGGAAACATAACTATTAATATGCACCCCTTTAGTCCTAAAAATCTCTGCCAGTTTTTACATTTTCAAATGATTACTTTTACAATATTACTAGAAAATTACAATGTGAGCTATTTTAGAGCTGGCCCCTGGTCTAGTCATGTGGTACTTGAGGGCTACCTGGCGCCCGCGGATGCCAAGTTGGCAACGCCTGCTTTAGATGCTTTTACTAGTGAGTGCATATTATTATTAATAGGCACATTTCACAGTTATAAGGTGTGTTTAGAGCTGTTTATTCTGCAGCGTGGCAACACTTCTTCGCTCCAGCCTGCTTGCTATTAGGATGAAAGGGATGTAATTTCAGCCTCCACGCTGCAATTGTGTGCGCACTTTAACTAGCGTTTGCATTTCAGAGTTATTTTCCACGACAAAAAGCACACGAGTTATAAACTGGACGATGAGAGCGTTGTTATGACTTTCAGTTTAATAAGAGTCCCAAACATGGAAACTGGCGGTGACTGCCCTGTATGTTCCTCCTCCGTTTGCACAACTATAAACACTTCTATTTATAACAATATTCTCAATAAATTCTGACTTGTATGTAAGATTAATCATACACATTCTCCACAGTGGCAATTTTTTTGAACTAGCACATTCCCATTACAATGCACTAAAATAATAAACAACTCACACATATGAATCCAAACTCTAAATGTCTTCATCACACTTCCCAAAGTAAACCACAGAAACCAAAGGGCAGCGGTTTGCTACTCACCGCCGCTAAGAAAAGACAATGTCCCCTTCAAGCGGGCACAAGCTCCTCCGGTCTGTGTTTACTGTCTGACTAAAGTTCTCTCGTCTCCTGCGTGGAGCCTCAGTTTCTCTGATGCTATTTTTGCCTCGCACGTGGGGTAAGCAGGTGGGGGCTGCGCTAAAGGGGGTTGATAGGTGACCCGAGGTGAAAGCTGGACAGAGGAGAAGTGAAGAGAATTGTATCGAGCCGATGGAAGGCAGTGGGCAGTTTTGGAGGGAGGAGACAGAACAGGAGCTGAGGAGGCCATCACTGCTCAGAATTAAAGTGAGAGGTCGTCCTACACTTGGATATGTAACAGTGTGAATACACTCTGCTCTCATGCAGACACAGATAGTGGAGCACAAAGTTTTGAGACACACCTCTTCGTGAATCACTTCATGAATCTGGATCAATAGTCTTCCTGTTTAATTCAACGTTTTGTGTACCAGCATGACTTTGCCCCAATGTGAAATAGCCCTGACCTCAACACCTTTCGGATGAAATAGAAGTTGCAAGGCAGGCAGAATCTCTGGTATAACTACACCACCCTCAAAAATGGTTTCCAAACACACACTCCAAAATATTGGAGAAAATCTTCACAGAAGCGAGGACATTGGTATAGCAACCAAGAAGGCGGGCCGGGGTGGGGGATCCATATTTTCTTAACACTTAAGAAATCACACACTTTCTGTAAGTGTCTCGTTATTACCACTATTTCGTTTCATGCAATGTACAATACAATATATGCATACAGGAAATCAATGATTCTCAACAACTGTGCCAGAGATGACCAAATGTGCCTGAATCCAATTCTACCCAATTGTTGCAAAAAAATATTTTCTACAAATAATGTATCTTTGTTCATCTATCTATGAAAGAAACATACAGTGACAGGCAGAACAACGAACGCAATGCTCTTTCTCTAATGGCAGAAAGTACAATTAACCTCCACCTGTTGCCATTCTACCTTGCAGCAAGCCCCGATTTTACTCCTCACGTTTTAACTCGAGAGTAATGTCTTGATCTTTCCTACCTGTATCCCTCCGAGCATGCAGATATTCCTATTTCTATCTTCTCCCAACTGGGACTTCATTTCCAAGTCTCCAGGTGTGACAGTCGCAGTACGTAGGAAAAGCTGAACCGTGCAGGTTTGAGCTACAAATCTCCACTTCATTGTCCGCGGCATGTTTTCAACACTGCATTCATTGCCTTAGTCAAAATGTCGACCTACTTGCATTCATTTGATCAACTAAATCATGCTAATAAGTCTTTTCTCCGATTGCCTTCGAAGCTGCAATCCTCCGCAGCACCCCACCATCTCCCTCTGGCTTCGCGCTTTCCGAACACTCTGCCTCTCCACAATTGATGTCGCACTTTCCCTCCATCACAACAATGCTCCGACTCTCTTTGCCTTTGGAATGACTACAATCTATTCCCTCGCAGAGTTTAATGCGACACGGCAGCTTTCGCCACCGCTTACCTGTCTTGGTGAAATTCCGATGCAACCTCCCATCCTGTATTCCATGTCCTCTTCCGGTGAAGTGACTCTGGCACTACAAGGCTTGCAGAGCACCTTCCTGCAGAACTGCATCCTCGTCGCTCAGCCACGGCGGCAGAGATCTTTCAAAACGTGCGCGTCTTGTGACGAGCAGATGCGCTGCCTTGGCATTGCCGGTGGTGCATCCGCGACATCCTTTCAAGTCATCGCTGTGTAAAAATAATCCACATTACATAAGGAATCCTGTCTAAGCAAATGAGCGGGAGATGGGAAGTGATGCTTCTCAGTCTTTTTTTCTGTGCCTCTCAATCTCTCATCAGTTGCAGAGAGGCACACGAAGGCATGGCGTTGCAGGGATGTGCACAGGAAGGGGTGGTGGTGGTGGTGGTGTGGTAGGTGCAAGGAAGCGGAATAAAGGGGTGCCTTACCCTTTAAGTGCCCCAGGAGGGAGCAAGAATGATGGCAGTACAGTATATGGCAGCATAACAAGCGCAGTCAACCGAATCGAGCATATCCAGAGTAGAAGAGGAGCCAATTCAATTGATAATTCAATTTAAAACCCTATTTTGAAAACCCAATTCTAATATAAAATCGCAACACTAGTTTAAACCCCTACTTTGAAACCCTAACTTTAGTTAAAAAAAAATTCAAACCCTAGCCCTAGCCTAAAACAATAAATTGAAACCTAACCCTTAAAGCTGTTCATCTTTGACCGATGTTGTTTGCCCTGCCATGGCAACCCCAAGTGTCCCAAGTCACTTTCAGCTGGCTGGCATTTGCAAAAGGTGAGTAGATTTGTGTGTGCTTCTTTTTTTTGTTTTTACATTGACGATAGTTTATCTTAAAAAGAGTATTGTATATTTTGCCCAAAAAGTACAATCATATTTGAAGTATACTTTCGTTGCAAAGCACTGCAGTCACAGGATTCAACTGTAATTTAATTTTTATTCTCAAGCCCCCCAATTCATTTTTGGGACTTTTATTGCTTGTATGGGATGTCAATAAAGTATTTTGAAATTCAAACTAAATATTACAACTGCAATTTTGTTCAGTTCAATCAGTTCTGCTATATACATTCAGTGGGTGTCAAAGTCTGATCACGTTGCATTTGTGTTGTTGATGAGATAGGTTCTGTTAAATAAACACTATGAAACTGTTCCAAAGTGTATGGAGGTAAAAAATATCCTCATCATTTTGTAACAATTTCCACAGATTCCACAGTTCCTATTGATATACTTGTTTTAAAATTGATTAAATTTAGACAATTTGTTATAATTTACTCCTCCATTCCATTCCTCCATTACCTTAATGAAAATGAAATTTAAAAGTGTAGGAGAAAATATTGTTGCTGATTTTTTTTTTCTCTAATGCTGATTTCAGATGATTAGAGGGATTTGTTTCGGCTGAATTTCTTTCTCTTCATTCTTGAGGTGAGGCGTAATGGACTGGTCACATGGACAAACTAATCCCTTCCTGACCCCGTCACTCTGAAGAAGTGACTGAACCGTAGTCCACTTTGAGGCTCTTCTGTGCACCTCAGCGGTCGGTAACGTAGATATTCTTTCAATATGGGGGAGTTGAGGTCGTCTTCGCCTCCACCTCACTTGGATTTGAACAACTTTGACTCTGCAGATGCAGAAAAAAGCAGGTACGTTTTAACAAGCCCTCGCTCCTTGGACGCCTGCGCACGACTTGGCATCAAACCTGTTCAACTTCTGATGAAATCATTGAATGATTTATTGTCTGAGCGGTGCGATTTGCCTTTCGAGGAAGTGAAGGTTATGCAGCAATCCAATGAAAAACAAAGGAGGACACTTTTGCAAATGTGCCGAGATGAGAGGGAGAGGATTATCCAGCAGGTTGCCAGGTGGCCGACCACTAAGAACGTCTCAAGCCTGGAAACGAGACATGACACCAAGCTGAAGGATGACATCATTGTTGATAAGACAATGGATCCTCTTCCATACGCAGACCTGTGTTTTCAGGACAAATGTGTGAGCAAAATATCTTGTTCTGCTGCAGGAGAACCAGACAGGAACACAACCTGCAGCCTAGGTGACCTCAGAAACTCTCCAGCTATCCAGATGAAACTACAAAGGCTGACTGAAGACATCAGGAGGAAAATGCGTGTGTCAGTATCCCAGACGGACCGCAAGATTGCAGCTCTCATGCTGGTGAAGCACCAGGAAGAGGTGGACCGCCTCAGTCACAGGCATCAGATGGATGACGAGCGAGAGCAGGCCCACAGGCAGGCGGAAGCACGGCAGGCAGAGGCGGAGAAGAGGAGGACGCAGAAGCTGATGCAAAGCGTGCGCCGCTGGCACCAGGAACTGGAGGCCCGCAGGAGGCTGAGAGCGCGTCGGGAAGAAGAGCGAGCAGGACGGCTCAAAAGAGAGGTGATGCTGCAAGAGGAGCGCTGGAAGAGGCTGAAGGAGCAGGTGGAGGCACAGCGTCGAGGACAGATGGCAGCTGCGCAGAAGGACGCACAGGGGAGGAAATGCTGCCGGGAGAAAGTGCTGAAAGAAATGGAGGAGGTGGACAAAAGGCAGCGAGACAAGGAGAGACAAGCAGCCGTGGAGAGGGAGCAGAGAGCAAGGAGGCGCAAATTGCAGCTGGAGAAAAAGGAGAAGAAGCGTCTCCGGGAGGAAAACAGAAGGGAGCTGCTGCACCGCATCCTCTTCAAACAGCAAGTGGAGAAACAGGTGGAGGACGAGGAGTCACGCTTGCGGGACGCAATGGAGAGGAAGATGCGGCATTCTCGTGTGAAACACGCTCGCGACGTGGAGGCCCGGCTGGTGGAGCTCCAGGAACGGGCGGCCCAAGAGGAGAAGCAGATGCTGAGGACGCAAGTCAGGGCAAAGCTGCAGAACATCCAGCAGCTCACACACAAACACCTCCTGGTCAAGCTGAGTCAGCAGCGCACGCAGAGAGCCGTCGAGCACACGTGGGCCCAGCAAAGGAAGAGAGCCCAGCAAACCCATCAGCACAACAAACTCAGGCAGCTGCGCCACCGGCAATTACGAGAGAGCCTGCAGAGAGAGGAGGAAGCGTTGAAGAAGGCCAGGGAGAGCAGCGTCACCATGAAGGAGCGGAGGTGCGAGAGGCTGCTTCGAGAGCGGGAGCACGTGCGGCAGGAGGCGCACAAGCGAGCCCTGGCGTCATTTCACTTGAGGGAGCGAGTGAGGCAGCAGACTCAGAGTCGCTCGTTTGCTCAGATGGCTCAGGAAGCTCAGCTGGCTGCCTCCATCGGCCGCATGAACCTCTGAAACGACAATCGTGAGCCATCATCGGGAAGATTTTCACACAGGCTTTGTTGCAATTGGCTAACAAATTCTTCATATTAAAATCAAATTGCGACGGCTGACCAGATTGGTCATGTGCCTTGGATTTTTTTTTTTTAAATACCACTGATAGCCTTCATTTTTGTAGCTGGGCTAAAATGTGGGTTTAGTATGACGCTGTTGTGCACTTTCCAAATACTAATCATCCATCTACTGTCTGTGACAGTTATGTTACTACAGAAAATGACATTAAAAATGTTTCTATAATTGTAATTTTGTTTGCTGGTTTGTCATCATCTGCAGTCGTTTCTGCAGGGCGGCATTGAACAAGTATATCACATTCTAGTATAGACAGTAGTTTACGTCAAGTCCAACATTCCAAAATTGCATCACCTGTAATGAATATGTTCTGACTGACACTGCATTTGTTGAATAAGAATTAAGAAAACAGATCCACTTGTTTTCAGCCATCAAAGGACATTTACATTTTATGCAACACTGCCATCTGCTGTCGACTGGAATTGACATCAAAGTGCACACTGGTTCTCGTTTTGGCACGACATAACAGCCATGGGACAAAATTCAGAAACCACAGTTTTCTTCAATTTCATGTTCACTTTGATGTCCTGGACCACTAAAAGCGTATCAAGTGACTAACTGACGCAAAAGAAAACTTGGACCATCTGGAAAGCATCGATTTTAGCAGTAACAACGCCAGACCTATTTCTGTATGAACTTAAGATGTGATTTTGATTGTTATCGGTATCAAGGAAACCTTTCGACCAAATGAATCGACCTTTAGTTGTGCTCGGCATTTTAAAAGGAACAACGAAATGAAGTAACAAGTGTGGTCTCTTATTTTTTTCCAAGACTGTATTCATCCAGGCATGACAGGGAAGTCGTGTTTAGCACAGTTGCCTTAAAGTTCTGAGCTTTAGGTTTGAACCGTAGCTATGGGCTACCAGTCAATATTTGAATCCGTGGGTGCCAAACTGTGAATATGCAATGGCAGACTGTAGTTATAACTTGTAACATCACTAGTCAACACTAGATGGCAGGCATGTCTTATTTGCACTTCCATTGGGTCATACACTGCCCTATACTACCTGTAGGTCTACATTTTGTTTCGTTATTTTTTTGCTGATTTGGAATATGTTGGACAAACACTCAATAAAAAACATTTTGAGTAAGTTGATTTTTGTGAAGGAAAAAAAAGATTGCTTGCACTTCCATGTTGGCAAGCGAACCCTTTGCATTGGAAAGAAATATACTTTGTGGTTATTCTGTTGTTTGCCTCAAACTCTTTGTTGTTGCATTAGGCTACTGGATCTTTTGTACATGCATTGACGAATATATTATCAAAAATGAACTATATTAATATACATATGTGAACATGTATTTTGTGCATATTTAAAATAGCATTTTTGTCAGACATCCAGTTACATATGCACTGATGAAAAATTGTGCCCGCCCCTTCCAGCATTGAAGTTGCCCATCCCTGATCTACAGCCATTTTTTCAGTACAGTAATACTGTACTAGTAACAGGTAGAAAGAAGAAAAACCTGATTGAAGGTAGTACCTTCCTCCCAAGGTTTTTGTTGTTCTTTGGAAATAGTGTACCAAGGACAACATAACATATAAGATATCCATTTAATCACACCCAAAAATTCAAGCTGCTTTAATCCACAACAATCACTCAACCCAAGGGCGAGTTTCCCTGGGAACAGATGAACAAGGGTAAATTGCCTCTCAATGTACTTGACCTACAAAAACCCGTGTTCCATCATTGTGCCATTCAGCCAGTTATGTTACAGGCGCATTCACACGAATAATGCTAATAAAGCTGTGCACATACCGCAAGAGTATGTACTTTTATGAGCTCATACGTTTACATACCCGAGGCGGAGGTCAATTTATGAGAACAACTGTGTCAAAAATATTTGTCGACATGTTTTTCGTGCTTCAGACTCAATGAAAAGTCTGTGTATGTAGCTTGTTCGGGATGTGTTTTGATGGCACAGTTTTTAAAAAAATGGTGAGGTTATGGAGAGAAAAGCAATGGCATCAGAGCAGTGCCTCAAAGCACTCACAGTGGTGTTTTATATGAAAAGAGTTGGCAGGGCGACATTAATAGCTGACTTTAGTTCTCGCTGCAGTACTGTCTGATGCGCCTTATTTTAAATTTGGGATTTTTCTTCAGTGTACTGTAGGAACGAATCCACACAGACAACAAATCGTCCGTCATTTATTAGTGTCATCTGGTGGGGCACTGACACGTTTGTCTCCAAGGCAAAATCTTGACCGTGACCTGCATCCAGATTGTCATCCTTTTACTCTCACAAATGATGTGAAATCTTGTGGTCCATTAACCGATGTTCCCATTTCATTTCTCTGCTTGCCACATCAGCTTGGCGACAGCTTCACTCTGCATTCACATTCTGAGTGAACAGCAATGTCTATAGTTCTACAAATGTTCAGGTTCGACTTCCAAGTCCTTGTCAGTCATCATGAAGTCCCAGAGCCAGCAGCACAGGAAGCGCAATTCCGAAAACAAGAGCGACGCTCTCCTTAAGGCCTAAGTGGCTCTGGTGCTTGGGGTGACCAGACTGTTGGCCTGCACGACTGCCACTGCTACTGCTGATGATGTCAGGAAGAACGTGCACCGTGGCCACAAAAAGGAAAGTCCCACCCGAGAAAAGCATACCGACACCCGTTGCGCCGAGTTGGTTCTGAGGTGACGAGGAAGTCTGCGGACACAAGCACATTCCCCAATCATAATAGCAGTATACGGTAGAATGACAGAGGATAAACTGGTGTGTGCTGTCTTACCATGTGCAGTATGAAGTATGTCGGGATGGCAACGAGTGGTGCTGCAGCTGAAAAGGCCAACAAATGTCCCTGGATGGACCTCTTTTCCAGTCCCGCATGTATCAGAAAGGCAACTAAACCGAAAGCTGCCGGAGCCTAACAGACAAAATACTGAGGTTGAATTCTCACTTCTGTAATTAAAGTGACACAATTCAGAGTTTGAGGGGAGGGGTTCAAGTGGCACAGTTCAGATATGTCTGTGAATACAAATTGTGCATTGAATCAGACAGTTGAAACCACACGTTTACATACTTTATAATGACTAAACTTTTGCTGATTTGTATTTGATTAACATCAAAATAATGACAGAAGTCTGGGGGGGGGGGCTTCAACAATTTGTCATTATTTTCTTCAAAGTCAAAAGTGGGCATACATTTCATTAGTATTTTGTACCATTGTCTTTAAACTGAATGATTTGGGTCTAAATAGAAAGAGTTTAGTCTGATTTCATGTCAGACAGTGAGGGGAATATTTTTTTAATGCATATAAAAATCTGCTCTGTATCGGATGATTGCCCAATGCAAGTATCGAGAAACAGGACAGATTATAGAGACCCGTCAATCCTCTTACTCAAACATTCTGATATTGCACCAAAGCACTGACTCATAGGAAAGTATTAAGTGTGTCAAGGAGGCGAGGTGATCATTGCACGGCGCTACATCAGGGCTAGGGAGACTAAAGCCCAGCCATAAATCTGTCTCACCACCCTTCAGCCCCTCCCAGCAATGGATTTATTTATTTTTATATTTAAGTTTTAAAACATTTTTTGAAATTCACAAGAAAATATCCATTCTGTTCCAATACGATTGCTGCTTCCATATTTGTGCTGCAGTTGTAACCTGTGTATTTATGAGGGCCCATACCACCATCATGCTGGCTTTTAAACGGCGTCTAGAACAGTCCGTATTCGCTTTTTATTTAAGTTTAACGCAATATTACAACTTCAATGCAATTTTGTCTGTAAGGTCTTACTTTGCTCCATTAGAGCTGTTTCAATGATTACATAAGTAGAAATGATTTCAAACGAATGGCTGCCAGTGGAGGCCAGGCTCTCTAAACAGTAAATAGTGTTTTGTAGTGACTTCTGTGTACATAATTCACCACCAACTGCAAATGTGTGAATGCAATGTTCATATGCTTGTCAGAGAGTTCACGATTATTTGGTAACGGGGTAGAAATAATTGCAGTCCCTTTAAGGACCGCCATTTTAGTCTGCTTGTTTCTATGGAAACTTACTTTCGGCGGGCTTCGTTTGGCACGAGTGTTTTTTTTGTTGTGCAAATAAAAAAAACACGACACACTCTCTCTCGGAGTGCGCACGTGAGAAATTGTCGCTTTCTTCGAGTTCTACAATTTCCACACTGGTGACCCTCGACGTTTTTTTTGCTGGACGATTCCAGACCGCGAAGATGTCCGTGAACGCTGTTTCGCTCAAGCTCCCCGAGTTTTGGGAATCATCTGCGTCTGCTTGGTTCGCTCAGACCGAGGCCCAGTTCGCCCTACGCGACATCACTGCGGACACTACGAAGTACTACTACGTTGTTTCCGCGCTGGGCAGTTCGACGGCGTCCAGGGTCGTGAGTCTCCTCAAGTCTCCTCCGACAGAAGGACGATATGACGCGCTGAAGGCTCACTTATTAAAAACTTTTGAACTCTCCGACGCTGAACGAGCCAACAAACTTTTCTCTCTCCACGGCCTGGGGGACGGCAAGCCCTCCGAGTTAATGGATCGTATGCTCGAACTGCTGGGCGAACACAAACCAGACTTTCTTTTTCTGCACCTTTTTCTGCGCCAGTTACCCACCCAGGTGAGGGCAGCTTTGGCTAACACTGCTATCACTGACTGTAGAGAGCTCGCTGCGGAGGCTGATAAATTTTTCCTAGCCGCCCAGCAACACTGTGCAGCGGCTCTCCTCCCCGCAACTGCCGCTAGTGCCTCCGC